ATTGACATTGTACTACGAATAACATATTGAATAAGATATCCAATAAACATAAACATATCTGTTGAAATATAACACACAGGAAATATAAAAGTCAAATCAAATTTAATTCGATGAAGAAAAATTTGAATCCATAATAAACAATGAAGAAATATACCGAAACATACAATCGAGAGAAGAAAATCATTTTCATATAAAACTATTGAACTCCATCTATTTGTCGAATGATTTGACAATCCAACGATCATTTTCTAGAAGTTTAATAGAATAAATAAAAGATTAACGGTAAGACAATTTCATTTGTATATTTTCTTGAATCCATTTATTCGTATATGCACTTTCACTCGAAATAATTACTTTCTTTTTCTCATCGGATGTTTTATTCTTTGTAGCGCATTATCTCCTTTAGTTAAAAGTAATTCTCATGTCTCGCAACTATTTTACTTTCTTAATTATTTTCTCATTCTCTAAAAGTCGATCTGTTCTTTTTCTTGAACAAAAATCCGGATTCTCTTTTGCTTTTTCATGTTTCATCATGATCCAGGCCATATCTTCTTCGTTATGCCATTTTGTTTTCGAAAATCGAGAAAAACATTTGATAGAATATCTCCAATAAAAAAAAAAGAAAATTAACTATGTTTTTAAGAAATCTAATTTAGCATTAACAGTTGTTATTAATGCCATGAAATGTTTTATTCCTCATATCTGTAACAATTAGTTTTGTATTCTGTTCTTCCGCAGGATTTCTATTGCATTTCTTTAGCATCTTTTACATAACATACGTGTACTTCTTGTATAATCGAAAGAAAAGCAACTATTATTGATATGTTTAAAGACAATTCTCAGATTTTAAACAAATCCAAATGTATATTTCTCATATGAACTCGGAGTTTTGCCTTGTTTAAATCATTGAGAATAAACTCTATCAGTATTATCAACGTGTTTTTCCATATCTGTTGATATCTCATTAAAACAATACTTTTTTCGAAAGTGAAATAAATAAAACTCAACACGCGATTATCTTCTAACCATTTTCAATGTTGATGACTGTGATAACCTTTAATTTACTTGGATATATTCGTAGATGCGCGTTGACTTTTATGCACTGATTACGCTCGAGAAAACGATGTTGGGGAAAGCTTTGGGATTTGTGCTTGAAAAGAAAAGATTTCCTGTCAGCTTTTCTGATTATACAATACATGTGAATGTGCCTTTTGAATTCAATGTAACTATACAATGAAAATTACATGTATTTTGTATATGACTTTATATAATTATTCAATAAATTAGATAAATCATAAAAATGACGTCGGATGATATTATTTCTTGACTTCTACTTTCGATCTATTGTGACTCTAAAAACAACAAATTTTTTTAGTTGTATAGGTGAACCTTGGATTTCTGTTTTTTGATTTCTAAATAAAGACATTAACAATCAGATTCTTTTTTGTGTATCAACCGTAGAGAATGCGAATGACGAATTTTCTTGAATTTTCAAAGTCTTCATTCACATCTTTATATTGATGATATAAGAAAATTAGTTTCATCAGTAAGAGAAATAAAATTATTTTTAGAAGATGTTTATCATTTCATTGGTGTTTTTTGCTACCAAAGAATTTCCTGAATACCTTTTCTGATGATGTCTTACAGGAAGATCAGGAGCATTGATTGATCAATTGCAATCTCATCAGTGTCGAAATACGACTAATTAATTAAACTAACTGTTGTCTCTCTCTTCTCTTCTCATATTAAATTTAACATTTTGTTTTTCATCAATTATCAAATTCACCATAAAACCATCGGGGCGAATTATCGATACACCTGTTGCTCTTCTACCGAAAGCTTTACGAAACATTTCCAAGTCCGACGGTATCATATCGACATCGATTTACACGCATTCTAATGTTGCAGTTGTGCACCAATGTTTATCTTCTGTAAACAATTCTCGACCAGTTTGGAATAGATCAAATGTCGAAATTTGTTTGTTATTTTTTGATACCCATATACGTGGATTTCATGTACCAAGTTGACCATTCCATTGATCAAATTTTTAAGCAGATGAAAATTCATTACTGACACCAAGAACTGAATATAATTGACCGAATTCCATCGCCTGATCGACAATGATCATAAAAACATTTTCGCCTTTATCAGCAGCATCACCAGCAAGAAACACTCGGCCAGATGCAAAACTATCTGCAACTAATGCACTACTTTCCCGATGACCTGTCGCACGAATTTTGATTCCTAAATGTGATCTACCAATTGTTTTAAAAGTCATTGTTTTTAATGTTTTTCTGTCACGTACTTTGTCGTCCGAAAAGATCAAAACTCAGCGACCATCGCCATGCAAGAGGTCGTGAGTATTGCTATTTAGCGACAAGTGTTATGTAAGATGACGGGGATGCAACAAGAAATAGGATGTGTTGTTCGAACATGTCGAAGAGAAAGATGTTTGTGATAATTTATTTGGATATGAATGAAGTTATGTCACTATACTAGATTAGGTTTCAACCGAATTCACTCGAAACAGATTCAAAAGGATCTGACTGGATTGAAAGTATCATAGAAGTACAAAAGGATGCGAATGTCTTGTTTTCAACACCAAGGTTTGATTTCAGGCTGGATTTTAAACTTTTATAAAGACACAAAATGAGAATTGTGATTTAAAACAATTCCAAGTCAGATCGATTGTGACGAAATACAATTTTAAGGTATTTTATGGTAAAAGTGCCCTTCTTCATTTTAAAAGTTGAATGGAGGTGAAACTAGTCTATATCGAATTGTGAGTAAAGTTTTACGTAACGAAAACAGGAACACTTTAAAAGTCTGGTTTTCTTATCTGATACTGAAAAAATAGTGAAGGTCAAAGGGGCAGTGTGGAGAGATGTTTCTCTTGATCTGAGAGGAAAGTCTTGTCACAATCAATTTATGTTCATCGTCCGTTTATGTTATCAAAAAAAAATTCTGATCATACAGCGTATGAACGCGAAGATGAAATTATCTTACCAAGTGGAATAAAAATACGAGTTAAAAGTAAACATTTGAGACAAGCAAATAATTCTCTCCTCGTTCTCCCAATCGAACTTGATGATGATGCCGAAAAATCAAGCGTCGCCAACGAACAATTTAAGTAAAAATATGTTGTGAGGAAATTTTAGGTTATCGTTTCAAGAAATTCAACTTAGTAAATGGAAGCAATTTGCAGAAATTGTGGCGGGAGTTAACGAGACAGCAGAGGAATGCAATCAACTCTAAAATTCTGAACGAATTGTTCTTGATAAAAATCAGAATCTTTTTATTGCGGACTACGGCGATCGTCGAATTGTTCAATGGACGTTAAATGAAAAGAAAGGAAAACGTGTTGCAGGTGGTAAAAGATGGGAAGAGAGAGTATTGATCGGTTGAATCATCCAACAGACGTGATTGTCGGTGAAGAACATAGTTCATCGATTATTGATGACCAGAACAACAAACAAGTGATTCGATTGTCGATTGATCAGAGCTCGTGGATTACTTGGATAAAATTTTGATAGAATCGAAAACATTTCGTGATATCGATTTGTATACGTTTCCGATTCGTTGAATAATGACACGAGAAGATGGAAGATCGGATGAGGAAAGTCAAAGTGAAGGAAAGAAGGTTCATCAGTTCAATTGTGCCTTTTATATCTTTTCTGTCGTTGATGGTAGAAGTGATAGAGGGAGTAATCTGAATCAGTTGAGTTCTTCACGAGGGATAGTTGTTGATGATTTCGATCACATTTACATTGCAGATAGTGACAATCATCCCATGATGCGCTGGCGCAAAAGAAAAGGCGAAGGTGTGGTCATCATCGGCGGACATGGTCTCAGAAAAGAACCAAATCAACTGGTTGAACCGGATAAACTATCACTTGATGGTCGAGGACACCGTTATGTATGCGACTGTAAACCTAGTCGTGCCGGAAGATTTGATTTAATTTGTTAATAAAAAACAAGTTTTTCTTTCTAAAGAAAGAAGAATTGCCGTAACTCTTGGCCGCCTTGACGGTTCTTTTCATCGGAGCCAATTGCAATTCGCAGTCTTATGAACAAATTGTTGGGAGTCGAAAGTCAATAAGCCTCTATAGCTCAGTGGTAGAGCGCCAGTCTTGTAAACTGGAGGTCCGTAGTTCGATCCTGCGTGGAGGCATTTCCTTTTGTCCACTTCAAACATTAGTGGGCACGGTGTCATTCGAATGTCTCTTCTTTTTTCTTATCATACTCGTTGCTTTTTACTCTCTCATCGTATAGAGCACGAATCAAATGTGAAAATAGTCACATGTTGAATTTCATCCAGTTGAAAAACGTTTGATAAATATAATTTTTTTTATTTCAGTCGAACATGTTACTGTCTTTTTTATCGTCATTCATCGTCGTGTGCGTCCATTTGAGCCATGCGGTAACATTTCGCCCGGTTGTTCTGATGCACGGCGTTACAGCAACAGCAGCTGATATGAATGAGCTAGCTGGATGGATCCGTGACACATATCAAGGAATCTATGTCGTTTCCATTGAAATTGGTAATGGTTATGAAGATTCATTCCTATTTCCACTCAATAAACAAGTGCAAATCTTTTGTCAAACAGTATCATCCGATCCCAAACTACAACAAGGTTTCAATATGATTGGTGTTTCACAAGGAAGTCTCATTGTTCGCGGCGCTGTCGAACGTTGCTCCTTGCCTGTGTACAACTTAATCACCCTCGTTGGTGTTCATCAAGGCGTATTTGGTATTCCTGGTCTGCAAATGCTTCCACCGCCAATTCGCGAACTAGTCTCCAAGTATGCATATGAAGATTCGGTGCAAAAGATCGTGAGCGTCGCCGGTTATTGGCGTGATCCTTTTCAACTGGACAAGTACTATGCAAAGTCACAATATCTTCCTGACATAAACAACGAAGGGACAACAAGAAACGAAACCTATCGCTCGAACATGTTGAAATTGAATGCATTTGTGATGACTTATTCGGATATCGATGAAGTTGTGTCACCACCTGAATCTGGTCTGTTTCGAGGTTTCAAAGCGAACTCAGTTGCAACTGAAGTATGGAATGAAACGAGACAGTATCAAGAGGATTTGATTGGATTGAAAACCTTGGATGAGCAAGGAAAGCTGTACCGATTCAAATGTCATACAAAACATCAAGATGCTCAACATACACCTGACAAAGACTTTATCTTTGAAAATGTTTTGCCTTTTTTGAATAACACGATTTAATCTGATTTGGAAGAAAGAAGATCAGAACCGTATTCATCTTTTAAACCTTTTCCAGGAAATAAAGCGCACTGGGCTTCTATTATGGAACTATTTTTTCGCTTTCGTACAACGCTCTGTTGAAATTTAAAAGCAGTCTTAACTGTAACATTACCATATCCATATTTTTCTTTATTCATTCACAACTCTGTACTATAGTATTACATAAAAAGACTTAAAAACACTTTTTCAAAGATAAGAAATACATTTATCACAACTATGTCTGTAGACGTAAACAACACAACTTAATATGACATTAGAAAAAAAAAACAATGCAATATTATACAACAAGAAGAAAATAGAAAAGCTAGTTTTTCCAAAATGAAAATAATGTACCTTGCTTCAAAATTTTAGCCGGTTGCATACAAATTACTTCCTCAACTTGCTCTATTGAACTAGCCTTATCCTCTATTTGTTCTTCAAAGTCTATAGATTCTGGATCGAAAGAATATCCTGGTAACGATTTGATTGTTACTATGCTCTTATCATTCCAGGTGTAGCCTCAACATCGAAAACGTTGAGAAAAGGTTACACTTCCTACTGTTCGTTACCAAGTTGTGCTTGTTAAACGAGTACACAATATTCTTTGTTGTGAAGAAGTGAGTTTAATATTAGATCTTGGTCCATTGAGTTTGATCTATTCTTCAGCAACATCAAGATAATGTGCCTTAAAACCACTAAATACTGATACATCTAAGACTTGAACATACTGAGTAATCGCACTTGGTATAACTCTTAAAATTACACCATTTCGTTTAGATAAAGCTTTTACTTCTTCAGTCAAATGAGAACTATAAGAATCTGTAATAAACATCTTCGGTCGACCATCTTTTGTCTTACTTAACCAATGTTCAGCATAGCTCTTCATATTAGATGAATTGTTAAAAGCAGTATTACTAAAATAAACTTTTGTATCTTCGTCATAGTGTTTTTCTTTCTTCTTCCAATACTCGTCCTTTACCTTTGAAAATTAAAGCTGGTGCTACTCAATTATTCTCATCAAAAACGCTTACGATTAAAGTGCAGAATCTTTTATTATTTTGGTGACCTTCAACTTCATTAGGCGTGTTTATATAATTTATGCTAGTTTTACTTTGGTCGCCAAACAAGGCAAGTGGATTTTCGTCCATTTTGCAAATGTCACGATCAGGAAATGATCCTAACACGTCCAAATTTAGAACACGAAAAGCATTTTTTCTTATGAATATTAAAAACTCAGTAACTCTGATATGAGCTTCAACTAAAGAAATCTTTTGCTGCCTCTTCGGTCTCTGTAATGATAAACTATGTCGTTTCCGAAAACGATAAAACCATTTTCTTGATGGATAAGTTTGAATCTTTAAAAAAATGTATATTTTCCCACCTTGACGTACCAAACTTTCGAAAGTAATTCGTTCTTTTTTTTTATTTCGCCCGGTCCTTTCGATTGTTCATCGTCTATATCTGTTCGTTGTGATTTGAACCATTGTATCAATTGGCGGTCAAATTCTTCATAATGAATTTTCATACCACCACCTTTGAAACGTTTTTTAATTTTTTCCATTTTTTTTCTTTCTTCAAGACCACCAGCTATTCTTCTTTTTTTTAACCATTCTCGTAATCGTTTTCGTTTTCGGTTCAGAGATATTTTTGCATTCTTTAAATAATTTAATAGCAATTAGTTTTTCTTGAATGGCCCAAGAACGACGCTTTAAAGATTTACATTGAGTGGATTTAACAAACTTTAAACAGTTTTAACGCGGCTATAGCCCTTTCTTTCAGAAAAGGGGATATTATTATTACTAGAAGATTCTTTTGATTGAGATGCAATCACTGTTGTAAGAAAAATGGAAGATTGTGAACTATTGATTTGTGTTTGTTGTTGTTCGACACCCTCTTCTTCTTCATCGTCTCGTGATTCTTCAGTAAGATTGGTGACATCCATAACATTATCGATAATTTCGTCGTCTGAATCGATGGATAAATCAGAATCATCATCAGTCGTTTCAATTAATGGTCGTAATGACAATAAATGGTTTTCTTCCATTTCAAATGAATTCATAAACAATGTGAATGATTTGGATTGTTGTCACAAATAAATACTGATGAATATGTCGTATATATTTCAAAAAACTAACACCAGATTCAAGTTTCCCGACCCCAAAAACCCTTTGGTTAAATTTTTTACGAGAATAGTTTTTAATGGCTACATTTAGTTTTCGACCAATCAGTGAAGTGCGGACATAGAAGCAAGCAATCAAACAAACAATTTATGTTTCTATCATTGTATTTTATTAAGAATTATTATACGTCGAAAAATTTCTTCGTATTCTATACAATAATGATAGAATTGGATAGACAAAAAGAGTTTTTTTAGTAAAAGAGATAGGACGAAAAGAAATAGATTGACTGAAAGTATATGTAGAATAAAAGAAAGAAAGAGCATGACATATTAAAAAATTGAAGATATTTTGAAAAGAAGTTAATTCTATCAACAAAATACTTTGCCATTCTTTTCTCTTATTATTGGCGCATCCCTAATTAGATGGGCTTTTATTATAGAGTGGAATTTTATTCCGGTTAACTTGGTCCTCATGCAAGCTCGAGATCAGTAGGCCAAGGACTGTCGTATCAAAAATTTCTGAGAGTGTAGTATGGTAATAGTTATTGTAAATATTTTGAAGAGTATTTCTTTGAATTAAATTTTGTACTCAATTTCACCTGTTGATTCTTATTCTCAGTTTGATTCGGTTCTACCTTCTTATATCTGAATATGTTAAGAAGTATCCGAAGGAGCAAAAAAATGTCTCACGTTTTCTACTCTTTCTTCTCGTTCTCGTTTCAGTAATTCTTAGCTTTGATCTCCTTGAAGACGACACATAATATTTGAAAAATCTACGCACATGTCGTCGTCTGATATTCTTCGAATCTCTACTCAATACACGCTTTACAATGCCTATGCAGTTTTAAGCTTAGGAGTTCTAGGTAATATCATAAACATTCTCGTTTTTCTACGCATAAAACTCTTTCATGGCAATCGATCGGCATTTTTTCTTATTGTTGAATCCTTTTCAAATGTTGGTTATGAACTCGTTTCCTTCGGTCTAACAATTTTAACATCCGTCTACGGTGATGATGGCACGGGCCGGTCGGATCCTTGGTGTAAAATAAAATTCATGCTGGCACAAGTCGTTTTACTTATTACATATTTTATGATTGGTTGCGCATCTGCCGATCAATTCTTCTCAACGCATTCTTATTTCAATCGGCGACAATGTTGCACAATGAAATTAGCTCGATATTCAGCGTTTATCATCAGCTTCATTTGGTTAATTCATAGCATCGCTTTTGCTTTGTTCTTCAATGTCGAGTCATCCGTTGGATGTGTTATTTCGAATACCAATGCACTTCGCTATGCGACATTTTTCTTCTATCCGGTCATCGCCGGATTTTTACCGATGATAATCGCAGCATTGTTTAGTTTATTCGCTTTTCGAAATGTTCGTCGGATTGTTCGTCGACAAGTCCCAATCATTCGTCGTCGATTAGATCGACAAATGACAGCGATGGTTTTTACACGCGTGATCTTCTTTATATGTTTAATATTTCCATACAGTTTCTATCGTATTTATGCAATTAATCATCCAACTTCACGAACGCAACCATTACCATACGCAATCGCTCAACTTATTCAAGCAATTTTTCTTTCTTTAGTTCGAATCAATTCAGGTGTACGTTCTCATTTAGTTTTCGCTTTATTTTATCATTTTTCTATACATAGGTGAATTTTTACATCTTCGTTTTAACATCATCACAGTTCCGTCGTCAAGTGAAGTTTGTATTGGTTAAGAAATGCTGGAGACAGATCAAACGTACTTTTGCGGGTGTTAATAATCAAACGGCACCGAATCAAACAGAATATGAAGAGTCACAAAGGGAGTCGGATAAGAATGCTTAATTATAGACCATTGTTAAGCTCATACTACATAATCATTATTAATATTTGCCTTACAGGATTTTTGCTTCGTGTTCTCCGCCTTTTCTTTCTTATTGCGATAATTATATATTAAGAATTTCAAAGAAGTAATACTGAATGGGATTTTAAACCGAGTGGATTGTAATTTGAAAGGAAGCATATCTCATCATATTAATAACCTTTCACTGGAAGGTCTTCGTTTGAAACTGTAAACAAGAATAAATTTTGTTTTGCACGATCGGTTCTGTTATGTATCTGCTTTACCCTCGGGTTCATTTCTGATTGAAAAGAAAATGTTGGAAGGCAGAGTTCTGACATACACTGATATACCAATAACAAAAAATATATTCTAGATTTTCAATGATGCGTGCATATGCCAGTTGGGCCTGCGGCAAGCGACATCGCTCACATGCTTTTACTAAGACGATGCGTTTTAAATACTTCAGCATGGCAAAGGCGAGTAGCGAATAAACATAAAGAGTGTTCCGGAAGTTCTGAAACGGCCTATATTTATATCATTTTTGCATTGATTTCGAAATCCATTTCATTCAAACTGATGAATTGTAGTATGCAGTTAGTACTACAATATTACAAAATGTCAAAGTGCTTCATTTTGTTACCAACTGTAGAAATACCTCTGAGTGGTTTTCTTCAACAGCTAAATTTGTATGAGAAGGTAGTGAAGACAAATGATATCATTCGATATCGAATATCAGTTTATTATGGAAGTCAAATAGACTTTCGAACTATCTCATAATATCAGACAAATGTGCATATAGATCGAGCAATGTTCAAGAAAATTGATTTTTAGAGAAAATAAAGATAATTAAACTATGAGTGTAGGTGTTGATAGTTGAAGAAAACTCTCTTTTTCTTTGTTCTAACATAGCCAAGTATGAGGAAGCATTTTAAACTAAACTTCACTTTCACATCCTCATCCTGTATTTACAAGTTATTTATTATGATATGTGCACAATTACAACTGAATGCTTTATGCATAAACAGATAAGAAAAGTCTCCATCGGACAGATCGTCGAAGTTTTCTTTTGAATTTCTTTGATAGATTACAATTATGAATTCGAAATCGTCGCAATGATCGATTGCTTTTTAACATTTGAACAATCGATTCCACACACAGATCATCAATTAGCCGATTTCCATTTACATATAACTCTTCAATTTGACTATTTTCTTGTAGAATCACATTAATCAACAACTGCATTCCTTGATTTCCAATATCATTACACGCTAAGCCGAGAAAAGTCAACGTTCGAGTCCGTTTTATTATTTCAATTATATGTTGAACACCGAGATCCGTAATTTCATTTGAGCCAAGATCCAGATATTGAAGAATCGACTGACCCGATGAAATCTTTTCTGCTAAATATCTCACACCAACATCCGACAAATGATTATTACTCAAGTTTAATGTATTCAATGTTATATTATTTTCCAATGCAACAGCAATTCTCAACGCTCCGTACGACGTAATGTTATTATTTTGTAAATAAAGTCTTCGACATTGTTTTTTAATAATCGCTTGTGCAACAACAATTTCCATGTCATTATCAGTTAAATTCCAATGATCTAAATCGACTATTGATTGAAAATTACACTTCTCGATTTCTTCTTCGAGTTTTTTGTTCTCATGACACGAAGGTAAAGGCACATATAACGGCATATCTATTAGGGAAAAAAACAGTTAAATTTCACTTGATTTTGACCGTAACTAAAATACCTTTCGATGACGTGTGGAAATAAACGTTCGATGTTCGTAACGAACTTAATCTATACGAACACGATTGGCCATTGGTATCTTCGTAGATCCCATGACATACTCGACTCATGACTTCTTCGACGTTTAAATTCGGCTCGATTATATGTTTGAGTAAATGATAGGTAAACAAACTATTTCGAGCATTCTTCGAATTTTCCAATGTAACTTCGTTGGACCCACAAGCGAAAACAATTAAAGTATTCGGAATGCTTTTCATTGACGTTAAATTCACATCCGTGACATTCTCTTGGGAGACATTTTTCGTGTTCGACACTTGATCTTCGAGATTTAAATTATTCCGACAGCAATCGAGAAGAAGAATAATCGTACACGGTTGTCGTTTCATCATTGATTCGAGCGTTGACTGAATACTAATGGCATAATGTGGATACATTTCGAAGTCCTCGGAAAGACATTTGTTGTCAATACCAATTAGATAATGTTGATCTTCCCATTGAGCACCGTGTCCGGAATAGAAGATGAGAAGTAGATCGTTCTTTTGAACTTGTCGTTGGAATTGAAGAACCTTTTGCACCATTTTTACATATGGTAAATCAACACCGACTGTCACCTGAAAACCGAATTTTTCCAAAACACTCCCGACATCTAATGCATCGTTCAGGCAACAATTAAGTTTCTTCCCGACTTCATAATTGTTATTTCCAATGACCAGTGCGAGTTTTCTCGAACTCAACATTTCATCTAAACAAAGTCTATGAAATCAGAAAAAAAACACCCTTCTCCTTTCTTTTTGTTTCTCTGACATATACAAACTCTACTTACATGTGTTCTTTTCTCTTGTTGTTTCTCGCGTCCTTGATGCAAGCTTCTTTTTTTTATGATTCTTTTCTCTTTTTCTTCTGTCTGTTGCCTACCTAATACTAACGTACGATAAGGAAATAACAAAATACATATTCCGAAGGAAAAACATGATATTTGGGCGATGACGATAAATATCGTCAACGTGCAAAGAGTGAAAAATCAATTTTCCCACATGCGCAGCTTGAAAAAAAACGCATTTTTCATTTTCTGCGTAACTTTTATCGAAAACACACATAATTAAATCAAGCATATTATTTATTTGCTACTAAAGATAAAACTAATGAAGAGTATTGTTGGAGAAACGGTATCCATTAATCAACCAGATGTTGTTTTTTTGTCTGCTCTTGCTTTTTGTAAATATTTCAAAACGTACGTCGCCGTTTTGTCTAAATTTGCTTTCTTTTGCACTCCGAGTGAACAAGATTTTGGATTGTTACACGTGTACCAAACTGTTCGGCTGATTTTCTTTTGATCATCTTGATGAAGATCAGCTAAACGAAACTTCTTCTCATCGGCTTGATTCAAATAAGTTTTCTCTTGATATGTGAAAAATCGATCTTGTGGTTTTTCCTTTGTACATGTAATTGGTTTCGTGAAAGTCAAGGGGATGTTTAAAACTTTCTCATCCTGTTTCGCGTAGAAATTTCCTGCACAAGTGAGTATGTCTTTGTGTCCACCTTTGGCAACGATTAATGTTTTTTTCAAATTCTTGCCGAGTAAATTCAAATCAGCATTGATTAAAGATAAGAGAATTGATTTGAGTGTTGGTAGAGAAATCCATTGGTAGTCGTCAATTGTTAAAATACTTGCTGGATATGTGAAGTCTTCGGTGATATCAGTAGTTAATGAAACGAGCGACTTTTTCACGGGAGAGTTTGTTAATGATGATGACAATGCACGAATGTGAATTTTCTCTTCAGTATAGTTGGCGTAGACATGTAATTGAATACGAGAGTTTGCCGTTGGATTAGTTAATGAAGAACATAAATCGAGCTTGGACGTTTTTTTATATGTTTTGAAATCAATTTCATATTGACAATCTTCCAATGCTTCAGTATCGCCATAATCGTAGTCTTCTTCAACATCGCTCGAGTGTGTCGAAGCGAATAAGATCAAAACGCAAACAGCTAATACTATCTTCATGGTAATTCGTGGGAAACAAATGATAAAGATTGTCGTCGTCTCGGAGTAATTTATACGGAATATTCTTACCATGATACATCATCATTTACTGATTAATAATTATCTGTTGAAAGGTTGGATAGATGATTTCTAGGCTTTTCTCCTTGAGATATCAAGAGATAGTTTTATTTATTCGTATTGTCGAAAGGTGATAGTTTTTAATTCGAGTGTGAAGGTGTTTGAAAGAATAAAAGATAAAGAAAATCACCCGTTCAAGACTTATACTGTTTATTTTAAGAATAGTGATAAGATTTCAAAAGCATTTATGATTAAATAGTTCCATTCGAAAGCTGCGAGACTTTGTAGGCGACTTTATACAAGTAAAAAAACGCAGATGTCTTAATTTATTTCGTATCATAGAGTTCAGCAATATTCAAATATATTGAACCGGATGAAATTCCATCAGTGACTAGAACAGTGTTATTAGATAACAAAGATGCTGTATGAGATTGTCGTGCAAAATTCATAGGTTGTGTAGTCGACCAATTGCCAGTCGATGAATTGTATAGTTCAACACTATTCACAACAGTAACACTATTGTCTCGACCACCAGTAACTAAGACATTTCCATTGGATAACACCACTGCTGCGTGACGGCCTCGAGTATTATTCATATTTGCTGTGAGAATCCACGTATTTGTTGCCAAACTATATACTTCTGCAGTATTGGAATAACCACCAGTAGTATATCCACCAGTGACTAAAATTTGTCCATTGGTCAGCACAGATGCTGTGTGATAAAGTCGAGGACTGTTCATGTTTTTTGTCAATGTCCATGTTCCTGTTGACGGATCATATAACTCAGCACTGTTCGATGGACTACTACCATTATTTCCACCAACGACTAGTACTTTTCCATTTGGTAAAACCGAAGCTGTATGAAATATCCGGGCAAAAGTCATATTCATTACATTTGTCCACATACCAGTTGATGGATCATATACTTCGGCACTGTTCGATAGACTACCAGCAGTATTTCCACCAGCAACTAGTACTTTTCCATTTGGTAAAACCGAAGCTGTATGGTACGATCGAATCATATTCATACTTCCTGTTGTTGCCCATGTTCCTGTCGATGGATCGTATAATTCTGCACTCCTATGATAAACACTGCCGTTGAAACCACCAGTTACTAATACTTTTCCATTGGATAAAACAGATGCTGTATGAAAACCACGTGCAGCACTCATGTTCGTGGTCATCGTCCATGTTCTTGTCGATGGGTCATATAATTCTGCACTATTAACACAAGCATCACCACTATATCCACCGGCTACTAACACCTGTCCACTAGCTAACGTAGACGCTGTATGATATACTCGAGCAATACTCGTATTTCCAGTGAATGTCCATCCTACAGAAAAGAAACACAAAATAAGAATGAGACCTTATGTTAACCGCTTTGTAATCTCATGCATGAAACGCGTTAGTCTGTTGCTTTTTTAACAAATGTGACGAACCTTGAAATTCAAAATAGGCTTGACTTTTCATGCCATCAGAAAAATCTAACTAAATTTTTGAACTACTCTGATGAGTCATTATACACTAGTGTTCAATTGGTCTCTCATATGAAACGCGTTCTTTTTTACGGTAGTTGAATATATGTTATAACTAGCTTAAACCAATATGAACATGATCAGAGTTTGCCTTCTGCATAGCAAATGAATTGGAAGTCTTATTGTAAATATCTACCGAGAGTGTATTTCGATTTACATTAATCTCATTCACCTGTTGGAGCTGTTGTAGTTGTTGATGTTGTTGTGGATGTTGAGGATGTTGAGGATGTTGAGGATGTTGAGGATGTTGATGTTGTTGTGGACGTTGAGGATGTTGATGTTAGTATTGTGCTTGGTTCTAGTTAAAATACAAAGCGAAGTACTAGGTAATAGTCAAACGATTTCTTTCTAGAGCTTCTTTCGAGATATTGGCAAAAAAGTCTTCGTAATGACGTCAATCAATAATAAAAGAGTAAAAATATCTCTGATGACTGACGCGTTTGTACTATTTCATTAGTTTGATTAGTTGTTTTCAAAAAATTTCTCCTAACACAATATACATGTGAGTATGATCATTTGGAAGAGATTATAATCTTGTTCTGATCAACTTACGAAACATATTTGCAATCAAAGACTGATCCGTATAGATGACTATCCAACCCATATCTAAATCCAGATCAACCAAAGTTAAATTCGAAGAAAATAATTGACATGTTTGATTTGATGAGAAATAGTTCAGTGCTGAGATCGATTGAAGTGAGCTGATCATTTGACAAATACAGCGCTGTTGAGATTGATTGAAGAGTGTTCTGGAAACATTTGCAATCAATCTCGCTTGCTGGATTTGATTGAGAGGAATACAATGAGCAAGAGAAAAAATTGTAAGAAGAACAAATGCTGTTCCCAACATTGTGTTGTCTATAAATGTTTTGAGAGAAAGTTGTTGATAAGCAGTTGCACAGAAATTTTCTTACTGTTCTGCTTCATTTTCTGAATTAACTAAGAGAAATTTTTTGGCTATAAGGAAAATGGAATGGCGCCGAAGAGAAGAAAACAATTTGGTAAAATATTTTGTATTTATTCAGATGTCTCAGTCAAATGAAAGTCACGAATTACTGCCATATTGACAATTGCTGCCATGGTTACAGAAAAAACCAAGGGCGACAAAAAATTTTTGTGACAACCGAGAAATGTCTTTTGGAATTCCCATAATGTAGGATAACACAGTCTCATCCATCATATTTCTACGGTTAAACCATCAACGAAAGCATATAACGAAACGATGTTCGTTCTTCGCTGATGGTTCGCGAATATAAAAGCAAAAGTTATATCGGGTGATAATCGTACTTTTCAAAATATTGATAATATTTGTGCTCATTTACATGAAATCTTCTTATGATGATGCAAAATTATCTGATTCTGAACGATTGTTGGTTAATAAAATCGGATGGATCATTTCTACACTTATCTTCTTGAGAAATCAGAAGGTAATCTACTTTCTTCGAAATGTTCTATGTGTTCCGCAAATACATTACGACAGATAAACTAAATGTGTGGTTATCGTTGAAATAACAACTGTATTCAAGCAGGAAATACTATTATTTCGGGTGAGGGTGAGGGTGAAATGCCGTCTAGAGACAATTGAAAAACCTTGCAATTTATTTGTGTGTTGATTTGCTTGTTGTCAATTGCTAAGATATTCAATATCTGAACGTACGTGCAAAACTTTTCAACAGGATCAAACTGTGACCATTTCTTTTTGACTGAAGAAATAAATCTCTAATGTGACACTAAAAACATAAAAATACATTCGATCTTGTGTCGCAACTTTGATGTGAATATTATTCAGAATATCGGAAAGTGAGTGAAAAATGAAATCTAAGTAGGAATATTACGTTACTATGAGCAATAGTATCAACTGACTCGATAATGATTGTTCAGCAATGTAACAAAATATTCAATGTATTCGTGCCTGGACTGACGGTGGCGATATCAGGTCTGCTGTCAGAATCTAGATTGCCCACAGCTAATGCATATGGATTCTGACCAGTTGGGTAAGTAATCTGGTTGAGAAATGTTCCATTACCAGCATTCAAAAGCACACTCACGGTGCTCGCTCCTTGATTCGAGACAGCTATATCAGGCATATAGTCAAAGTTCACATCCACTAATGCTAATATTTGTGGTTTCGATCCAGTTGTGTAAGTAACTTGATTAAGAAGCGTACCATTACCTTGATTTAGGAAAACACCCACGTTATTAGATCCCTGATTTGCGACAACAATGTCAAGTTTACCATCCGAGTTCAAATCTTTCACTGCTATTCCAAACGGATTGATACTGGCTGAATAAAGAGTGATAGTAGGAAACGTGTTAGTACCACTGTTAAGCAAAACAGAAAGGGTAGCATTGCCAAAGTTTGCAGTGATAATACCGAGTGTACCATCGCAGTTGAGATCACCGACCGCTCCTGAGTACGGATGGCTGCCAGCTGTATAGTCCGTTCGGCAATAAAACGAACCATTACCTGCATTGAGGAAGATACTGGCAGTGTTCGAAAGAGAATTTGTGATGACAAGATCCGGTTTTGTATCAAAATTCATATCGACTACAGTGATCGATCGTGGACCACTGTTAGTTGTATAAGTTGTTTGATTTGAAAATATTCCATTGCCTTGATTGAAAAAAATGCTGACAGTGTTCGAGCCATAGCTTGCAACAACTACATCAAGTTTATTATCCGAATTCAAATCGCCGATTGCTGCTGACTGTGGATTAGCGTCAGTTGCATAGCCCGTTTGATTGCGAAACATCGAAGCTGCAATAAAATATCGTTTAAGTAACATCACACTGATAAAAATTCTTTAGTATATTTATCTCATTGTATAACTTATTGTTTCATTGTCAGTTTGAAGAATGATAGTCGCTGTAGTGAGTTTATTCGACCGAAGATCACAGAAAGCAGTGTACGCCTGTTCTATTCATCGATTTATTACTATTTTGAGAAGTCTTTCTGATGCACACGAAGCTTTTCCTTTCGTATAGTATTTTTTTTCGAATAGAACTTTCACAACGATCATTCAATCTAATACATACGACAATATGGGGTTGACGTTGATGATGTAGATGTGGACGTCGTAGTGGATGTCGATGTGATACTCGGTCCTATTTAGAAAATCATCAGTTAGACAATGATAAAAAGCTATTCCAGGAACGTGTTTGTAATATCTCGTCATCTCTATTGGTTATTTTCTGAAACCTTCTCCCAACACAAAACGTGTAATCATAACTAGTTCAGAAAGTCTACATTTTCTACTCCTAGTCAACTCACCGAACATATTCGCAATCAAAGACTGATTTGTATAGATGACTATCCAACCCATATCTAAATCCAGTTCAGCCAAAGTTAAATTCGAAGAAAATAATTGACATGTTTGATTTGATGAGAAATAGTTCAATGCTGAGATCGATTGAAGTGAGCTGATCATTTGACAAATACAGTGCTGTTGAGATTGATTGAAGAGTGTTCTGGAAGCATTTGCAATCAATCTCGCTTGCTGAATTTGATTGAGAGGAATACAATGAGCAAGAGAGAAAATTGTAAGAAGAACAAATGCTGTTCCCAACATTGTGTTGTCTATAAATGTTCAATATGCTCTGTCTTTTGTTTTGAATGAGTATAGAAAGCTATATGAAAGAAAAAACGGAAAGTTATTTGGTTAAGTGCTTCGTAGTATGGAAGATGATAAACTGACAACATTGTCTTATTCGATGTCAAGTCTGTGGGTAAGCAAGAGGAATGTTTTGTTGAAACTGAGAAGTAACTTTCTGATTGCTTCTTTTATGTCTGAAGCAATTACTTACCTGAGGAAAACTCTTTTACCGATGAGTATGTTTCACTTTGACTCTGAAGGATAGTTTTTTCCGCGAAGAACTGAAGTTTTTCTTATATTGAGACAAACAATGTTTATACTTCCGCAGTGTATGAATGTTATTGTGTTAGAGCATCCATCGGTTTGGTATTCGCAGAAAACGATCGAGACCCGTGGTAAGAATGCGTTTCATTGCAATTAAATCATGTCCTCGTTCGTTATTTCGAAGAAACATGCAAAGAACAGACATGAGCGCCTGCCTCGAGAAATCGATGCATCTCCACCCGCACCGCATTGAATTCCAACTTCTGGTTTAGCTTTCAAATCAAACGATATCACCAACTTCACCAATTCTTTCCAATCATCAGCCGGTAAACTCAAAAAGCCTGAGCTGATTTCCAAAACATGGAATCTATACAGAATTTCATTTGCATTTTCTTAAATCGAATCTTTTCCTTACCCTAAATCTTTGCACGTTTTGAAATACTGTTTTATCACATGTTTATCACTAGCAGATGAAACTCAGACACGTTCGATGTAACTGTCTGTACTCACGTAACATTTGTGTTTATGTGCAACGTTATAATTAAGTCACATGAACGATGCTTCAGCATCAATAAAAATGACCCACCAGCGAATTGAATTCTATCGACATATTCAATTCAACCTTGAAGCAATTCATCGAGATATGTTCGTGGAACAGGTACATAGTATGAACCACGAATTTCGGTGTTGTTTTTCTTTCTGTTTGGTTTTGATAGTAAAAATGCGAATGGTGATGGGGACTTATTCAGAAACTGAATGAGATTTGTAAGGGAAAGTGGAGATTTCAGCATTTTATGACGATAAAGTATCGAAGTCGAATTCTTGTTTATTCATTCGGAATTTCCACGGTTGAGAATATCTTCGTATAGATGTCGTCTTCCTCTTCTATATAAAAAAGTCGACTCAATGACTTGAAAAGGTTACCTGGACATTTTAATCTGGTCTCATTCATCAGAATCTCTTTTCAATTCAATATAAAAGACAATTATTCGTATACCATTTCAAATTCATAATTAAATCACATGAATACATTGAAGCCTTTTGTAAATGTAGATGAAGTATTATAATTCTGTTAAACGTTCTGCTTTTATTCAATGGATAATAATCCTTCCTGCAGTGCCAAGACCTTATCACTCCATTATTTCAATTCAAATAAATACGAATGGATTTTTTGAAATTAGGTTAGATTCCACCAAAACATTACATCGGTCGAAATAGTGAATTGACTCGCGCAATGGCCACCAGATTTCTTCGAACTATCCTTGGTGCAATCATTATATTACAGATCAATGAATTATTCATTGTAATTAATTTTCAAAATATCATTGAAATCCTTTTGTTTTGTGAAACACGATCTGAAAGAGAGTGTTGAAGTGTGTAGGGGCAGAAATTTGGACCCCCCCCCCCCCCCCCCCCCCCCCCCCCCCCTCCCACCCGGCGGGAGCCCCCCCCCCAACCCACGCCCGCCCCGGCCAACACACACCCCCCCANTTAGTTGCAGCGATTGCTTATTTATGTTTACAAATTCCACGTTGGTATGCCTTAGGCGTCTTAACTGGTCTTTGTTCATTAATTCCTATTCTTGGAACGGCAATTGTGTGGATTCCAATAACAGTTGGACTTTTTATCCAACAAGCTCATATTAAAGCAGTAATAATGATTGTTGTTGGAGTTTTGGCAATTGGTTCAATTGATAATTTACTTCGGCCAGTGTTTTCCAAATTGGGTTCACTACAAATGTCAACGTTATTATTGTTGTTAACAATTTTCGGTGGATTAGAATTATTAGGACCATGGGGAGCATTACTTGGTCCATTGATTGTTCGGTTAGCAACAGAAGGGGTGATTTTGGTTCGTGAAGATGAAGATGAACAAACAAACACGACATCAACACACATGTAAATGAGTTTTTTTCCCACAAGTCTGTAAACCACATATGTTTAAAAACATAAATTCTTTCGATTCAATAAACAGATCAATACAACATTCGTTTTTTTTCATTTTCTTTGCTTTTCTATTCTTGCCTGTTTATTCATCGTTCAAGTACATTATTTGATTACGATCGTCACATCGAGTAATCTAGTCTGTGCTTCGCTAATCCAATCCGTCGTAGACGTCTTTGCACTTAAGAAATTCTATTGTAAATATTTCCGGACTCGAAAGCAAACGACTATACATTTATGAAGACAAATTCAATGAGACCTTGAATATGTATGTGGATTTAGTTGTTTTCCATAGAGATTTTATCAAAATATGCAATAACCTTCGAGTTTAATATTTCTCTGGAGTATATTTTTCTCATTCTACTCTTATTATTAAAAAAATCTTTTGATAAATATGTTTTCAAACATCTGTAATCATAGTTCTTCATGAATATCGGTAGAATTATGAAAACGTGACTAAGTGAGAACAGAATTTGTTTATAAATGGATTTCGTGCTGCTACTTTGTACAAGATATTATTGAAAATGTTAATTTGCATGATAAATCTCTTTCAAAAAATACAAAAGATTCTTATCTAAACACAATGTATGACGCTAATGACCAAACAAAGCCATAGACTAATGAAGAAAATAAACACAGTAGTGTTCGATTAGCCGCTGATGTAGAATAGATGAGTTTTATTCAGTAGAAGAAGTAATATTCAACTCCAGATTTGGGTATATCGCTCAATCTTTTAATTAAATATTATCTTAATGAAGATACAGAGTCTTAGGATTAGAGGAACAATTAACAGATTGACAATCACATGCATCTGAACGAACGTTCGCCAAATTCGTGTTTTGAATGTTATAATAATGAATGAGTTGTTTTACAATAATAGAAATCTTCAATGCTGTAGAAAGAGTGAAACAAATCTAAAGATAAATCTAAGAACAACGTCATTTCCTTCTTAAAAATTTTGCGTCATCTGAGATTTTGTCAGCAATTGTAGATTAGGAAAAGAGGGATTACTTTGTCTATCTAGATTTTGAATTTCATAAAATTACCTGGTAAATGATGGACAATCCGGATTAAGTTTCAACTTTAAGGCAAAATAGGCTTTAAACAACATTGGTTTAATGAAAAGAGTATAAAAGAGGATGGATTTTTATTCATTTTCGTATTTGATTGAATTCTATTTTTGAAAATTTCTAATATAAAACAATGTCTACACAGTCGGTCAACTATGATTTCATTCTTACATTACAAATGGCACAAAAATATCTCTATCAATATGTTGTTTTGGTTTTAATGATTCTCGGTACAATAGGTTGTGTTTTTAGTTTAATAGTTTTTACTAAAACAACTTTTCGTAAAAATCCATGTTCATTATATATGATTGCATATTATATCGGTAACTTAACACATATTTATACAATAATATTACCATCAATGTTAGTATTTGGTTATAATCAATCTATTTCTGTCCAAAGTATAGATGCTTGTCGATTTATTATTTATATGGCTGTTGTTTTAAATGTTTTATGTCCATCATATTTGATTTTTGCGTCTATTGATCGAATATTAATCACATCATCAAATGCAACAACGAGACAACGAAGTACTGTTCGTCTTGCTTTTATTTCTGTAATAAGTATAACATTATTTTGGTTTTTATGTGACACTCATGTATTAGTTTTCACAAAAATATTCGAAGTTGTAACAAATTATTTTGTTTGTTCTTTTCAAGGTGGATTATATTTAACTGTTTTTATTTATTATTCAACGACAAGAGCTCTACTTATTCCATTCATTTTAGCGATTTTAGGCTATTGGGCGATTAGAAATATTCGACAAGTAGGGAAACATCGAGTTCATGCTACTGGATCGAATTTTGAAACACCCGCGCAGATTAATCAGCAACAGATTCAGTCGAAAGATCGTCAACTTATTCGAATCGTTCTTATGGATATTGTCATTTACATTTTATCAAGTTTTCCACTCGCAATTGTTTCGATTTATCTACAAACGATCCAATATGATGTAAAAACCCAAGAACAATCGCAAATCAATAGTTTTATTAATTATATTTGTGTATGTATTGGATATATTCCATATTGCATTGGATTTTATAAAAATTTATTTACCTCAAAAACATTTCGAAGTGAATTTATGAACATCTTTCTACGTAAATAAAGTTTTCTGCTAAAAATTCTATTATTAATAAAGATTCAATTTAACAAGAGTATCAAATTTGCAAGTATGTCTAAGCAAGAATATCCAATGAATGTTATATTCGAAATTGAGAAAACCTCAAGTGTATAAATAATTAGTTTTAAAATAGAGAAACCTTTTTCGAATATAATAACAGAAATACTATGTACTACTGGAGAAAATTAATTATAGTTGCATACACGATCTAATACAATAGAATGGAAGATTTTCTATTAGTTTTTTGGTACAATCGATGTCTAAAAACAACATTCGGATTTTCATCCGATGTTTTCTCTTTCATTTCATATTGATTTTACGGTGATATAACAAATAAAAAGAAATAATCCCGATGGATAAATCAACAAGTTCTTATGATCACCGTAAGTTTGAATTATATTCATTTTTTTAGCATAAAAATTATGTATTGGCCTTTGTATTCCGGTTCTATTACTATATTGCCATTTGTGTCACTTGTAAATATAATCAAATCAAATGAATTCTCTTCCAAATAGTTCTCTAATCGATCAATGGAATCTTGATTCTAAATTACTTTGTATTGTATAATGTACACAGAAAATTTCGACATGTAATATCGTTGTATTTGATCATCAAGCATTACCTCCATGTAAGATGTTTAATGAAGGATTCATAATGAGAAAACTTTTGTCGATTTATCATCTCTGACAAACATTCCGAATAGATGTAATCAGATTAATTGGAATAATACATTTGAATGCGGCAAATGGATGTTGGACGATTACTATCAGTGAAAATTTCACTTCAATCAACGGTTATGATGATCCAATGACACGCACTACCAATACTCTTTTTACTTTACATTCTACTTCAATTGCTGCAGCATATAAAAATAATTTACAATTAAATGTGGTTGAATATCGTTCAAATTCAACTACTAAAAATCATATTATGACTAAGTGAATCAGTTGTATCTTAATGTTCAGGATATAGATATGTCAGTGAATATGTTATAAACATTCAAGACACATTCGACACACCCGCGCCCTTTAAATGACTCATACTTCCTTGGATTTCTTCCTTTCGAGGAAAAGAACTCATATTGCGTTTCAACAAGTTAATTGCGTAATCTTTCTCTACGCTTGATGCAAACATTCGTATATATATACTAACAGTTCTATTCGAAAGTTACCTGTATTTTTGATTAAACAAAAAGAAATTCCAATACCACAGCGAACAACTGGTCTTATCCTTAGACGTAACTATAGAATCCATATTCAAAACTCAAGAGAATATTGATCTCGTTTACATATTTTCAGTCACATTCAGCTTAAAAATTTCTATTCTCTTTCTTCGTCATCGTGTTATTTTTCGTTTTACTCTTCTAGAAACGTTGATTTGGTTCTCATTGGTGAGAGTGTGTGTCTTTCAAACATTGCGAAATAATCCATGGCAAATCAAATTATATCAGACGATGAGAATATTATTGAAAGATTTACGAAAATTTTTCAATCAAAACACAAATCAGACAATGGTGAGAATACCATGAGTGAAGAAGATTTAGATATGATGGCTGGTCGAGTATCACAAGGTTCAAACGAAGTCGATTTTGAGTATTTACAGAAAAGAAAAAAATTTGCTTGGGTGATGGGTGGTGATGGTTTAAATTTGTTTCTAAAACAATCTAATATTCAAGCACTACGTTCAATTGGTTTTGAAGATCGATGGATTCGAAGGAAACTAGAAGCCGGCAGACGTTTTCGTTTAGGTATATTTTATAGATCAGATCAACGTGTTCTAGCGACATGGGATGGAATATTATCGCTCATAGATCAGCATTTTCCGAAGCCGATTTCAACTAAAATATGTCAACATGCAGATGCATTCAAATCAATGACTTTTGATGAAATTGAAACTCGAGCTCGGTCAACATATCTTAAAGGAGCATCTTATTTTGATGTCGATCAAATGTGTGGCAATGGTATTGCAACTGAGCCTCGTTTGATGACAGAAGAAAGATTTTTGGCATGTGAAGGAACATTAGAAGAGTCTCGTGGTTTTCTCTATAATCGATTAGCCGCTGCGAGTTTATTTGATGGTAGTGGATTTACGAAAGATTCAAATGGACAATTACATGTCAGAGAATACCTACAACCCAGTGTGCCCGTTTGCGATCTTCCCGGATTTCGATACTTGGATATACCTATTGATAATAACGATCTTATGCCGAATGATTAAGACAAATTAGAAAATTGTGCATATGTTTCGCTAATTTGATAAACATGATTCTTGTTTAAAGCGAAATAATAATAAATAAATACGTATTCGTGTATGTATTGGATATATTCCATATTGTATTGGACTTTATTAAACTTTCCTGTTGAAAATTCTATGACTAATAAAAATTTTCTTTAACAAAAGTATCAAATTTACAAGTTGCATTCATTTATTCTTCGAAAACAATGTAGACATAAAAGCGGACCACATCACATATTTAAAGCTAGATTAAAGTTCATATGAAAGTATACAAATGCAATTATCCACATTCATCACCACTAACATTCGTGTTTGGATGATTTTCGGGTGGTAGTTCACCACTTGGATTTTTCTTTTGATTTCTTTTGCTTAGTTTTTCAAATAATGGTTCGGCTGAATTTAATAATGTGGTCACATCAGCATGTGCTCCACCTACTTTCACACCCAGATGAGCGCAGCAAATATTGTCGAAATGCCAGTCTTTCAGCACATTACGCATCCAATCACGAAATAAATATGGTGCTTCAGCTGTTGGATGAAGTCCAGCACTTTTGATCGAGGGATGAAATGCCATTGCACCATCTTTCATACCGAATAGTTTCAACAAGAAACCGGGCTTTTCTGAATACATTATTGTATCGTCAACATGAAGCGTTTTTGATGCTGGATGATAAACAAACACACTAACGAAATGGTTAGAAGACTCTGGCTGAGGATTAACAAATTCAGCTCCTAAAATTCAAACTGAATCATTGTTTCATCTATATTTTATCGATCAACGAAAAGAACCTGCAGGAATACGCATTTCAACATCTGGTTCCCATTTCTTGCGAATGTTACAGTCGTCGAGATCTCCTTTCCATGGAATATCTGTTAGACGACGAAGATGTCTTGGTGTTCCATAGTAAGCTGCTTTCGGATAGAGCTGATAGAAGGCAGGAATTGAGAGTGTATGAAATGGATGTGTGGCAATGACAGCTTCAATCTTCTCACCGTTGTTTGTTAACTGATCAATTTCTTGTCGAAGACGATCAGTCATTTCCACTGTATCGATGACGAGAAATCTTCCATTTCGGCGCTTTATGATCGACATTTGTGTCTCAATATCAAGAACCTTGAGAATCTTAAAACTACCGCGTACATTCCAAAATCCTGGTCCTATAGAATAAAGTTCATTTTTGTCGAGATTCTGTGCAGCATTCGGAGTTTGAGGTGAAACAGCAGATGCCATTGTGCGAAAAAGTTTTAAAACTGATCTATAACGAATATTCGGTAATAAACGTTTTTTGTGTCACGCCATCAAGTAAACATAGTATTATATGCATGTCATTCGGATCATTAGACTTACATAACTATATTCAACTAACCTATCATATCGAATGCGATAGATGACGATGCGTAAAACCAAATGATGTAGAACAATAAAGAAAAAATTCAACACTGATCAATTTCAATTCAGTCGTCTAACAGTTTATTCAATAAACTACAACGAACACATTCATTCTGGTATTTCCATGAGTATTACATGTCAAATCAGTAGTACCATGCCCGAAAATTACACTTAAATATTCAGCTGTTTCTTTTTACGACAATTCCCACTGTTTTTCTTGTTAAGGAAAAATTGAGCTTAACTTTAATTCTTGCATATACGATCAACAATTTTGCCGTAACAAATTCATCAACGAACTAAACATTTCAAGATGGGAGATGTTCTTCTGATTAACTTAAAATCTATTGCAACAAGATATATCAACACATCTTGGTTAAACGCACAATCTCGTCAAAACGAATTTGATATTTTTAGTTTTGTCGTGAGTCCATACTTCAACCAAAACTAATCATTCGCGGTGATATTTTGCATTTGTTTCAATCAAATCAGCTGAAAGTATATGATATTATACTCTTTGTCCTTTTATTTAAAGTATTTTGAATAGGATTAAGATGGCAATTGATGCTCTAGAATGTCTCTGTTAAAGACTAAATTGTTCGCCAGAAGGTTTTCATATTTTGATATCGATTTCATATCAAATTCAGGAAAGAAGAATTTGATTTCACGTTGAGCTGTTTCAGTTGAATCTAATTCCCAAATAAGAGGAAAGAAAATTTGTTCATACGAACACTCTTGACGTCTTTACCTGATCCATGACCACAATTTCTTGTATCTGTTACACCATGTTGACCACGTATTGTATTTTCTGCTTCAAATATCGTTCTGAAATAGAGTAATGTTTTTCAATTTCCATCTATTCAACAAATCGCTGTTGTACTTGAATACTTTTGTTGGACCAAGCATTGATCTCCATTCTTGTATTGCATTATCCCTTCCCAATATGTGACATGAGATTGGTCCACTACAACAAAACGAATATTTTCAATTTTTGCAATGATAATTAACATACCAACTCATGTAATGAACGAGTCGACTGTAGAAAAATTTCCCTGAATAGAAAATATCGAACGTTAAAGAAAAGAATTTGTTCGAAGTAAACCTTGATGTTCTCGATAGAATTCTCCAGCTCGTTCACGATTCAATTGTAAACGTTTGCTTTTTATGAAGATAAACTGACGTTGAAGAATTAATTCGATAATTTCCTAAACAAAAAATGAAAAAGAACATTGTATGAGAAGATATGAAGATAAAATATTACCTTTATCTATACGTACATGAAATAAACGAGGCGATCGAACAACATCCGGTTTCAAAATACATAAAGTCAATTGAAACATAATGATATATGTGTGATATCTACAATACTGACAATATTCTTAGATGAATTGAGATCATTTTTGTAACTTAATGATCGATTCGATGAGACTACTACATTAGTTTTAGTGTGAATAACGAATGAAATTGGTTTATCGATGGATGTCGCTTCTGACTACATAGACTGGAGTTATGATTGAATGATGTATGCGCTGGATGTGACTAAGAACATATTTTTTTGTTTGAAATCTCTCAAAAACAAACACACACACAAACACGAATAGATTTCGAAAAGTAGTCAAGTTTTGTTCGAGTATCAATTCAACTATTTCCACTACTTACAGATATTCAAGGAATTACATGTGTATGGCTCGATGATAACAAAGTAGTATGGACATTTATATACGTATTGTTGCTTTCTTGACGAAATGATTGACGATATAACTTATTTTGATAAACTATTCCAATAAAGATCAATTTGAAACTAATGATAGGTAGAGATATAACAGTAAGCATGCATAGAAAACCAATGATTTCCTTTTCTCCCTTTGAAATTGATATACGATCTCGTAAGATTAATGCAATGGAGAGAACAATACCAGTGATAGAACTCAGAGTATCATAAAATAAGGATTTTGATTTGAGTTTTGTCGAAAGAACTAGTTTTACAATCGACAATGTAATAAAAGAAATAATATGTATCACAGAGTAAACACGTGTAAACCAATCACCTGTTGGTGTTTGAAGATCGATCATGAGTTGTATCTCATGAGATTTAATGCCTAGAAATGAACCAAAAATAAGTGCACCATTGATACAACAGACCAGATAATCTCGTCGTTCAAGATCGTTCGGTGTTTGACCTAGAATAGATGTAACGAATGACAATTTCTCCTTCTTTTTTTTTCACCTTTCAAGTGCCAGAACACGAAGAAACTGCAAATTGAATTCATCAACGCACTAATTGCATAACTCAGTCCCAATAATGATCCAACAAACCAACAGTAAAACAAAGCTATTAAACCAAGATACAAACCAAGATGGCATGTGACAACACATATAGCATATGCTATCGTTTGATAGAGTTTAAATGATTTATTTCGATTAATGTCTTCTTCAGCTACACTTGAACTAGTATTATCATTCACTGTAGCCATGAATATGTATATACTTTTTCTTCGCAAATACTGTTATTACTGAAGAATTTATATGAGTCAGAACGAAACAAAGAATAATCACTCACGGAATGAAATATTTTCTTCTATCCCATGCAATGGGATAATGCCATCCCACACAGAACCTTGATGTACGTGATGAAATCGAATAGAACAACAGGGGAAGTATTTTTTACTCTGATTGATTTGGTCAAAATTCAATTAGAAACAAGTTGATTGAGCAATGGCAGTGACTTATGAAAATTCATCTTTTGACACACGATTGGCATCCGAACCGAACAAAATAGATGTACATCGATCGTCAGTAAATGTATAAATCTTTGGTAAATATGTTGATTTATCACTAAATGAAAATAGTTTTCAGCGATAAAATTCACAAGTGATAATTAAGCTAAAGATATTGAACTTGCTGTTATTACTCTGCTGGTATATGTGAAATGTTTGTCCGCATGTAGCTATAGCGTTGATATATTAAGCGGTGAAGTTGCTTTTCACAAAGTGATGATGAAATTTTCATAATTGTTCATACAGAGAACCTTTGTCTGAAACTGTTGAATTATGACACGTTTAGTACGATAGATAGTGCTAATTGTTCAATGGTTCTATATCGACCAGAGCAGGGCATGGCATCTCTTGCTAGCTAGATTTGATTCATTGTTTTAAAATACCGAACTAAGGATATTCAGAGTTTTGATGCTTGTCGCATCAAATCAAAGTAGGTGACCGACCATGAACATGAAATCATTTGTATTTCATCGAAAAACTAATTAATTCATTTTTTTCGAATAATTAATTAAAGAATAACACTGATATTCTGTTAAATTAGTTTCATATTACCTAAACTATCATATTCGGCAATGTGGTATTCGAACATTGAGATTTGTTACAAGATATAGAAAATGAAATTGGTTGTTATTGTTTCAAATCATTTGATCATGCACTCACTCTCAAATCAAAGAGATACCACAAAGTGATTAAGGTGATACAGTGGAACGCGTTCCGATTGGTAAATAGTGGTTAAATAATCGTTTCAACAAGGCACGCGAAATTCGAGTATGGTCCGTTCTTCTTGTCAGTCAGTGTGAACACGATGATCGCGTCTCGCAGAAGATTTTGCTCGTCGACTTCTACAGGTTTGATTGGAATCTTTTGTGTAAAGTGAAAAGAATCATTGTGGCCTTCGATTAAGTTCATCACCTATTGAAAAATCGGATGCAGTTGTTCCACAAACAATCCTTGCTCGTATGAATGAACTCAAAATGCAAGGATGCGAAGTTATTATTTATATTCTCAATCAAGTCGGTGATGACATTTATCATGCAATTAAATTCTTTGGCAATGTTAAACTTGGTATCGTTACACAATGTACACGTTTCGATCGACTCATGTCAAATAGTGATCCTCGGAAAATGGATATGTATATTCAAAATTTAGTACAAAAATTCAATGCAAAATTAGGTGGTGTTAATCAACTTGTTTCATTAATGCGTGCATTAACATCTCCATCAGCTCGATCTGATATTTTTATGTTCTTTGGTATCGATTGTACACATATAACATGTTCACGTGAACGACCATCGATTGCTGCTGTTATTGATTCGATTAACATCTTCATCAGCAACATTTGAACTAGTAGTTTGATGTTTAGGATGTTAAACGAAATATTGACGAATCTGCACATAATCACACGAATAGTTCGATGCATACTTATGATAAGTACATTCCAAGCAACAGAGTTTTGCAAATGAAATTCGTATGTTGTCTGTATAGACTATCTTGTTACTATGAAAACATTTTGTAAACTATGACACCCTGTTAATGTGATAAGCAAGGAAGTTAACCCTTGTGCGGTATTTGTGGGTCCGATGAGACCCACAAGATTGTTTTTTCATATTTTCCACACAAAGATCTATCCTGTTCTGATCCATCTCTCCGCTAGTCGTTAGTCCTCTGACGGTATACAAGTACCGTATTACATTTCACATATAGATCATACCACTGAAAAACTGAAGGGTAGGTCCATAGGGACCTTCTAGCAACTTTTATGTTATATAAATGATTTTCATCTATATTGTATCTGTCATCTATTATGTGGAGAGTTTATTTATCATAGATGTGTTAGTACAAAGTTGCAAATTGTGAATTGTTTATTTTTTCAATCGTTTTCTGACGATTTTGTTATCTATATATTGAAATATGTCTAATACCGTCTCTAGTTATATGTATGCAAAATCATTCATATTTATACATTACTACCAGACTAACTATTCCGGTTTCGATAAAAATATATCTTAAGGCTTAGTATATCATATCTGCTACAGTGAACACTAAAAATGAAGCTTTTCTAACTTATTTACACGTGGGTCCTTCCGGACCCACACAACATCTTTTGTGTAAAAAAATGAGGACACCGTACGAGGGTTAAACAGAAGTAAACTAAGTCGAAAGCGCCGATGTGATATTTGTTTGCCTTGAGATAAATTTGTTTTACATAGATTCGTAGGTTATCTTATGTATTTTTATATAAATAGTTGACACACACAACTTACGGAACACTAATAGCGACAAAACAACATGCCGCATCGTCGCATACTCGTAGTTTTACTTCTCTTCGTTTATCTTCAAATATTTTCAGTCGATGCAACATTATTTCCTTGTAATACAACGTTCTCGTGTGGTTGTTCAAGAGCTAATGCTAGTATCAATGCAAGAATAGTCGGAGGAGAAGTAGCCGTCGATCATAGCTGGGGCTGGGCCGTTTCGATACGAAGCTATTTTGGAAATCATTTCTGCGGTGGAATGATCATCTCTCCTCGTTATGTTCTTACAGCAGCACATTGTGTCGAGGATTACATATTCTCAGCTAATCTTCTATCAATTGTTATAGGTTCGAACTTGTTAAATGGCACTGACGGACAACGGTTCACGTTATCAGGCATCATTAGCCATCCTAGTTACAATCCGAGAACAAAAGAAAATGACATTGCTATTCTTCAGCTTAGCAGTGCAATTGATTTTAAGAATGACAATGTAGCGAAAATTTGCCTTCCAAATGTCACGCCAACTGAGCAATCTCAATATCCGATCGTGACCAAACAAGTTGTAGCAATTGGTTGGGGACATACTACTTTCAAAGGCAATTTGTCTAATTCATTGCAACAAGTAACAGTTAAGACAGTTGCAAGTAAAGAATCGAAATGCAAAGTTTACATTCGAAATACAAACCTGCAATTTTGCGCTGCAGTGAACGGTGGAGGGAAAGGTAGATTTTGACAGCGAGCATAGATCATATCGCATTCTTTTTCTCTAGATACATGTCAAGCTGATTCCGGTGGCCCGTTGATGTTTTATTCTAAATCGGAACAAGTGTGGGTACTTGCAGGTATCACATCCTATGGTCATCAATGCGCATTACCAGACTACGCTGGTGTTTATACACGAACAAGTGCTTATATTAGTTGGATTCAGTCAGTTGTTGGTAACGATGGTATCGTAACCGTCCAACAAAGTAAAGCAGTGATTCATCATCGTGTTTCTTATTTCCTCACTTTCGTAGTATTTTCTCTAATGATTCTAAACCGTTTCTATTATTAAAAGTTTTGCACATGCATATCTGAATCGGATTTCATTTAATTCATTGTTTGATTTTCGAATATGACACAAAATAGCAGCTTTAATTCACTCGAAGATTTCGCTCGAATAACTCGCTGATGATTGTCTGAAACTGTCGAGTATATTATTGCAATCTCTCTGGAAGGCGTATTCTTGTTGAATAATTGTCGTTTAATTAACTAAATCGTGAACGAAAACAGACACGGTAATTGACATATTTAACTAATGATGCGGTCATTCGTTTGCTTTATGAAGGCCCCTTTTTGAGGGTGTGGGCAATAGTCTTCTCTTCACCCCATCCTTAAAATTTCAAGGTCTTTATTCGTCTTCATATAGCAAATCGTTAGTTTTCCTTTATATCTCAATACACTTCATTAATATGTATCGATCGTTCTGTAATAGTCTTTTATCTAAAGTGACTTAACTAGATTTTATTTCAAAGAGAATACTTGAAAAAAAGGAGGAAAAGGCTTTAGTCAAGTTCGACAGCCTTCTTTTGTGGTGGTGGTTCAGGTATACTGAAATCATCCAAAAACGTTTCTTGTCGTACACGCATCTATCTATATAAAGAAGAAAGTTTGTCTGTTTGTTTGTTTGTTCACTATGCATTCAGTCCCTGTAGTAGCCATCGGCGTGAAACTTTCCACAATGCTTCCTGAGACCCAGAGGAAGGTCGACATCTACTTTGTTCCGAGAACAAATGAACCAGACGTTTGCTACAGGCAATATATGAAACTGACCAATAGGATTGCAGGATGCGAAAATTGCAGCGGGTCGGTAGCGAAGGCGGCCGAAGGCCGTGTGAGCGCTCAAAGACATCAATCCACGTGTTCTCTACGCCTATGATAGTTCGGTGAATGCTACAGATAATCTGCGAAACTCACCAATAGCGTTACAGGTTCTCAAAATATTAAGATAAATGATGACGGTGGGTGAATTCGAAGGATATAAGGCATGAAATGACGTGAGAGTGAGAAAGAGGTCGATAAATGAATAGCTGGAGTGGAAAAATTAATATCAGAGAAAGAGAAAATTTTCATGATTTCTGAGGCAGAAATTAGCTTCGGTAACTCTTGCATAAAGAGATATAGTCGAAACTGCCATTTTATGCGATGCACGGTGGGAAAAATAAGGATTGGAAGCGTAGAAATTTTAATTGTATTGATTTTCTATCTGTTATAACTCTTCAACACGTGAGATATTCGACATAGATATTTCTTATTTGCAGCGGGTCTCCCTCTAGTTGTAAATATTTTGAAGAGAATTTCTTTGGACTAAATTTTGTATGCAATTTCACCTGTTGATTCTTATTCTCAGTTTGATTCAGTTCTACCTTCATTTATCTCACTTTTTTTTTATGTTACGAAAGGATCTGAAAGAGCAAAAGAGTGTCTCGCAGTTTTTCCTCTTTCTCGTTTTATTAATTCTTAGCTTTGATCTCCTGAAAGACGACACATAATATTTGAAAAATCTACGCACATGTCGTCGTCTGATATTCTTCGAATCTCTACCCAATACACGCTTTACAATGCCTATGCAGTTTTAAGCTTAGGAATTCTTGGTAATATCATAAACATTCTCGTTTTTCTACGCATAAAACTCTTTCGTGGCAATCGATCTGTGTTTTTTCTTATTGTTGAATCCTTTTCAAATGTTGGTTATGAAATCGTTTCCTTGATTCTGACAATTTTAACATCTGTCTACGGTGACGATGGCACGGGCCGATCGGATCCTTGGTGTAAAATTAAATTCATGTTGGCACAAGTCTTTTTACTTATTACATATTTTATGATCGGTTGCGCATCGGCCGATCAATTCTTCTCAACACATTCTTATTTCAATCGGCAACAATGTTGCACAATGAAATTAGCTCGATATTCAGCGTTTATCATCAGTTTCATTTGGTTAATTCATAGCATCGCTTTTGCTTTGTTCTTCAATGTCGAGCCATCCGTTGGATGTGTTATTTCGAATACCAATGCACTTCGCTATGCGACATTCTTCTTCTATCCGGTCATCGCCGGATTTTTACCGATGATAATCGCAGCATTGTTTAGTTTATTCGCTTTTCGAAATGTTCGTCGGATTGTTCGTCGACAAGTCCCAATCGTTCGTCGTCGATTAGATCGACAAATGACAGCGATGGTTTTTACACGCGTGATCTTCTTTATATGTTTAATATTTCCATACAGTTTCTATCGTATTTATGCAATTAATCATCCAACTTCACGAACCCAACCATTACCATACGCAATCGCGCAACTTATTCAAGCAATTTTTCTTTCTTTAGTTCGAATCAATTCAGGTGTACGTTGTCATTTAATTTTCGCTTTATTCTTATCATTTTTCTATACATAGGTGAATTTTTACATCTTCGTTTTAACATCATCACAGTTCCGTCGTCAAGTGAAGTTTGTATTGGTTAAGAAATGTTGGAAACAAATCAAACGTACTCTTGCGGGTGTTAATAATCAAACGGCACCGAATCAAACAGAATATGAAGAGTCACATAGGGAGTCGGATAAAAATGCTTAATTATAGACCATTGTTAAGCTCATACTACATAATCATTATTAATATTTGCCTTACAGGATTTTTGCTTCGTGTTCTCCGCCTTTTCTTTCTCATTGCGATAATTATATATTAAGAAGTTCAAAGAAGTAATACTGAATGGGATTTTAAACCGAGTGGATTGTAATTTGAAAGGAAGCATATCTCATCATATTAATAACATTTCACTGGAAGGTCTTCGTTTGAAACTATAAACGAGAATAAATTTTGTTTTGCACGATCGGTTCTGTTATGTATCTGCTTTACCCTCGGGTTCATTTCTGATTGAAAAGAAAATGTTGGAAGGCAGAATTCTGACATACACTGATATACGACTAAAAAATATTTTCTAGATTTTCAATGATGCATGCATGTGTCAGTTGGGCCTGCGGCAAGAGACATCGCTCACATGCTTTTACTAAGACGATGCGTTTTAAATACTTCAGCATGGCAAAGACGAGTAGCGAATAAACATAAAGAGTGTTCCGGAAGTTCTGAAACGATCTATATTTATATCATTTTTGCATTGATTTCGAAATCCATTTCATTCAAACTGATGAATTGTAGTATGCACTTAGTACTACAATATTACAAAATGTCAAAGTGCTTCATTTTGTTACCAACTGTAGAAATACCTCTGATTGGTTTTCTTCAACAGCTAAATTTGTATGAGAAGGTAGTGAAGACAAATGATATCATTCGATATCGAATATCAGTTTATTATGGAAGTCAAATAGGCTTTCGAACTCTCTCATAATATCAGACAAATGTGCATATAGATCGAGCAATGTTCAAGAAAATTGATTTTTAGAGGAAATAAAGATAATTAAACTATGAGTGTAGGTGTTGATAGTTGAAGAAAACTCTCTTTTTCTTTGTTCTAACATAGCCAAATATAAGGAAGCATTTTAAACTAAACTTCATTTTCACATCTTCATCCTGTGTATTTACAAGTTATTTATTTTCATATGTGCAAAATTACAGCTGAATGCTTTATGCATGAACAGATAGGAAAAATTTCCATCGGATAGCTCGTCGAAGTTTCCTTTTGAATTTCTTTGATAGATTACAATTATGAATTCGAAATCGTCGCAATGATCGATTGCTTTTTAACATTTGTACAATCGGATCCACACACAGATCATCAATTAACCGATTTCCATTTACACATAACTCTTCAATTTGACTATTTTCTTGTAGAATCACATTAATCAACAATTGCATTCCTTGATTTCCAATATCATTACATGCTAATCCGAGAAAAGTCAACGTTCGAGTCCGTTTTATTATTTCAATTATATGTTGAACACCGAGATCCGTAATTTCATTTGAACCAAGATCGAGATATTGAAGAATCGATTGACTCGATGAAATCTTTTCTGCTAAATATCTCACACCAACATCCGACAAATGATTATTATTCAAGTTTAATGTATTCAATGTTATATTATTTTCTAAAGCAACAGCAATTCTCAATGCTCCGTACGACGTAATGTTATTGTTTTGTAAATAAAGTCTTCGGCATTGTTTTTTAATAATCGCTTGTGCAACAACAATTTCCATATCATTGTCAGTTAAATTCCAATGATCTAAATCGACTATTGATTGAAAATTACACTTCTCGATTTCTTCTTCGAGTTTTTTGTTCTCATGACACGAAGGTAAAGGAACATATAATGGCATATCTATTACAAAAAGAAGTCAAATTTCACTTGATTTTGACCGTAACTAAAATACCTTTCGATGACGTGTGGAAAAAAACGTTCGATGTTCGTAACGAACTTAATCTATACGAACACGATTGCCCATTGGTATCTTCGTAGATTCCATGACATACTCGACTCATGACTTCTTCAACATTTAAATTCGGCTCGATAATATGTTTGAGTAAATGATAAGTAAACAAACTATTTCGAGCATTCTTCGAATTTTCTAATGTAACTTCGTTGGATCCACAAGCGAAAACGATTAAAGTATTCGGAATGCTTTTCATTGATGTTAAATTCACATCCGTGACATTCTCTTGGGAAACATTTTTCGTGTTAGACACTTGATCTTCGAGATTTAAATTATTCCGACAGCAATCGAGAAGAAGAATAATCGTACACGGTTGTCGTTTCATCATCGATTCGAGCGTTGACTGAATACTAATGGCATAATGTGGATACATTTCGAAGTCGTCGGAAAGACATTTGTTATCAATACCAATTAGATAATGTTGATCTTCCCATTGAGCACCGTGTCCAGAATAGAAGATGAGAAGTAGGTCATTTTTTTGAACTTGTCGTTGGAATTGAAGAACCTTTTGCACCATTTTCACGTATGGTAAATCAACACCGACAGTCACCTGAAAATCGAATTTTTCCAAAACATTCCCGATATCTAATGCATCATTCAGACAACAATTAAGTTTCTTCCCGACTTCATAACTGTTATTTCCAATGACCAGTGCGAGTTTTCTCGAACTCAACATTTCATCTAAACAAAGTCTATGAAATCAGAAAAAAATAACCTTGTCTTTTCTTTTTGTTTCTTTGACATATACAAACTTCTACTTACATGTGTTCTTTGCTCTTGTTGTTTCTCGTGTCCTTGGTGCGAGTTTCTTTTTTTTTATGATTCTTTTCTCTTTTTCTTCTGTCTGTCGCCTACCTCATACTAACGTACGATAAGGAAATAACAAAATACATATTCCGAAGGAAAAACATGACATTTGGGCGACAACGATGAATATCGTCAACGTGCAAAGGGTGAAAATCAATTTTCCCACATGCGCAACTTGAAGAGAGAAAAAAAAACGCATTTTTCATTTTCTGCGTATCTTTTATCGAAAACAAACATAATTAAATCGAGAATATTATTTATTTGCTACTAAAGATAAAACTAATGAAGATTATTGGTGGAGAAACGATATTCATTAATCAACCGGATGTTGTTTTTTTGTCTGCTCTTGCTTTTTGTAAATATTTCAAAACATACGTCGCTGTTTTATCTAGATTTGCTTTCTTTTGCACTCCGAGTGAACAAGATTTTGGATTGTTACATGTGTACCAAGCTGTTCGACTGATTTTCTTTGGATCATCTTGATGAAGATCAGCTAAACGAAACTTTTTCTCATCGGCTTGATTCAAATAAGTTTTCTCTTGATATGTGAAAAATCGATCTTGTGGTTTTTCCTTTGTACATGTAATTGGTTTTGTGAAAGTTAAGGTGATGTTTAAAACTTTCTCATCCTGTTTCGCGTAGAAATTTCCTGCACAATTAAGTAGGTCTTTGTGTCCACCTTTGGCAACGATTAATGTTTTTTTCAAATTCTTGCCGAGTAAATTCAAATCAGCATTGATTAAAGATGTGAGAATTGATTTGAGTGTTGGAAGAGAAATCCATTGATAATCATCGATTGTTAAAATACTTGCTGGACATGTGAAGTCTTCGGTGATATCAGTAGTTAATGAAACGAGCGACTTTTTCACGGGAGAGTTTGTTAATGACGATGATAATGCACGAATGTGAATTTTCTCTTCAGTATAGTTTGCGTAGACATGTAATTGAATACGAGAGTTTGCCGTTGGATTAGTTAATGAAGAACATAAATCGAGCTTGGACGTCTTTTTATATGTTTTGAAATCAATTTCATATTGACAATCTTCTAATGCTTCAGTATCGCCATAATCGTAGTCTTCTTCAACATCGCTCGAGTATGTCGAAGCGAATAAGATCAAAACGCAAACAGCTAATACTATCTTCATGGTAATTCGTGGGAAACAAATGATAAAGAATGTCGTCGTCTCGGAGTAATTTATACGGAATATTCTTACCATGATACATCATCATTTACTGATTAATAATTATCTGTTGAAAGGTTGGATAGATGATTTCTAGGCTTTTCTCCTTGAGATATCAAGAGATAGTTTTGTTTATTCGTATTGTCACAAGGTGATAGTTTTTAATTCGAGTGTGAAGGTGTTTGAAAGAATAAAAGATAAAGAAAATCATCCGTTCAATACTTATACTGTTTATTTTAAGAATAGTGATAAGATTTCAAAAGCATTTATGATTAAATAGTTCCATTCGAAAACTGCACGACTTTGTAGGCGACTTTATACAAGTAAAAAAAAGCAGATGTCTTAATTTATTTCGCATCATAGAGTTCAGCAGTATTCAAATATATTGTTCCGGATGAAATTCCATCAGTGACTAGAACAGTGTTATTATATAATAAAGATGCTGTATGAAATCGTCGTGCAAAATTCATAGGTTGTGTAGTTGACCAACTGCCAGTCGATGAATTGTATAGTTCAACACTATTCATAGCATTAACACTAGTGTCTGTACCACCAGTAACTAAGACATTTCCATTGGATAACACCACTGCTGCATGATGGCCTCGAGTATTACTCATATTTCCTGTGAGAATCCATGTATTTGTTGCCAAACTATATATGTCAGCAGTATTGGAATAACCACCAGTAGTACGTCCACCAGTGACTAAAATTTGTCCATTGGTCAGCACAGATGCTGTGTGATAAAGTCGAGGACTGTTCATGTTTTTTGTCAATGTCCATGTTCCTGTTGACGGATCATATAACTCAGCACTGTTCGATGAACTACCACCGATATTTCCACCAACAACTAGTACTATTCCATTTGGTAAAACCGAAGCTGTATGAGCCCCCCGGGCAAAAGTCATATTCATTACATTTGTCCACATACCAGTTGATGGATCATATACTTCGGCACTGTTGAGATAACCGTTACCAGAAATGCCACCAGCAACTAGTACGTCTCCATTTGATAATACAGAAGCTGTATGGGACGATCGAATCATATTCATACTTCCTGTTGTTGCCCATGTTCCTGTCGATGGATCGTATAATTCTGCACTCCTAAGATAAACACTACCGCTGAAACCACCAGTTACTAATACTTTTCCATTGGATAAAACAGATGCTGTATGCAAATCCCGTGCAGCACTCATGTTCATGGTCTTCGTCCATGTTCTTGTCGATGGGTCATATATTTCTGCACTATTAATATAAGCATTACCACTATATCCGCCGGCTACTAATACTTGTCCACTAGCTAACGTAGACGCTGTATGATATGCTCGAGCAATACTCGTATTTCCAGTGAATGTCCATCCTACAGAAAAGAAACACAAAATAAGAATGAGACCTTATGTTAACCGCTTTTTAATCTCATGCATGAAACGCGTTAGTCTGTTGCTTTTTTAACAAATGTGACAAACCTTGAAATTCAAAATAGGCTCGGCTTTTCATGCCATCAGAAAAATCTAACTAAATTTTTGAACTACTCTGTTGAGTCATTATACACTAGTATTCAATTGGTCTCTCATATGAAATGCGTTCTTTTTTACTGTAGTTGAATATATGTTCTAACTAGCTTAAACCAATATGAACATGATCAGAGTTTGCCTTCTGCATAGCAAATGAATTGGAAGTCTTATTGTAAATATCTACCGAGAGTGTATTTCGATTTACATTAATCTCATTCACCTACTGGAGTTGTTGTAGTTCTTGATGTTAATATTGTGTTTGGTTCTAGTTACAATACAAAGCAAATTACTAAGTAATAGTCAAACGATTTCATTCTAGAGCTTCTTTCGAGATATTGGCAAAAAAAGTCTTCGTAATGACGTCAATCAATGATAAAAGAGTAAAAATATCTCTGATGACTGACGCGTTTGTAGTATTGCATTATAGTTTGATTAGTTGTTTTCAAAAAATTTCTCCCAACACAATATACATGTGAGTATGATCACTTAGAAAAGATTATAATCTTGTTCCGATCAACTTACGAAACATATTTGCAATCAAAGATTGATCCGTATAGATGACTATCCAACCCACATCTAAATCCAGATCAATCAAAGTTAAATTTGAAGAAAATAATTGACATGTTTGATTTGATGAGCAATAGTTCAGTGCTGAGATCGATTGAAGTGAGCTGATCATTTGACAAATACAGTCCTGTTGAGATTGATTGAAGAGTGTTCTGGAAACATTTGCAATCAATCTCGCTTGTTGGATTTGATTGAGAGGAATACAATGAGCGAGAGAAAGAAATGTAAGAAGAACAAAGGTTGTTCCCAACATTGTGTTGTCTATAAATGTTTTGAGAGAAAGTTGTTGATTAGCAGTTGCACAGAAATTTTCTTACTGTTCTGCTCCATTTTTTGAATTAACTAAGAGAAATTTTTTGACTATTAGGAAAATGGAATGGCGCTGGAGAGAGGAAAACAATTTGTTAAAATATTTTGTATTTATTCAGATGTCAGTCAAATGAAATTCGCGAATTAGTGCCATATTGACGATTGCTGTCATGGTTACAGAAAAAGGAAGGACGATAAAAAATTTTCTGATAACCGAGAAATGTCTTTTGGAATTCCCATAGTGTAGGATAACACAGTCTCATCCCTCATATTTCTATGGTTAAACCATCAACGAAAACATAACGAAACGATGTTCGTTCTTCGCTGATGGTTCGCGAATATAAAAGCAAAAGTTATAACGGGTGATGATCGTACTTTTCAAGATGTTGATAATATTTGTGCACATTTACATGAAGTCTTCTTATGATGATGCAAAATTATCTGATCCTCAACGATTGTTGGCTAATAAAATCGAATGGATCATTTCTACACTTATCTTCTTGAGAAATCAGAAGGTAATCTACTTTCTTCGAAATGTTCTATGTGTTCTGCAAATACATCACAACAGATAAACTAAATATGTGATTATTGTTGAAACAACAACTGTATTCAAGCAAGAAATAATATTATCTCGTTTGAATCTGTTGCTATTCGCTAGCGTCATAGATGAAATCGTCAGTCATTCTATTGTTTTTGAAAACGAATAGTTTTCTTTGAGCGTGTGAATGTTGAGAGTGAAATGCCGTCTAGAGACAATTGAAAAACCTTGCAATTTATTTGTGTATTGATTTGCTTGTTGTCAATTGCTGAGCTATTCGATATCTGAACGTACGTGCAAAACTTTTCAACAGTATCAAACTGTGACCATTTCTTTTTGACTGAAGAAATAAATCTCTAATGTGACACTAAAAACATGAAAATATTTTCGATCTAGTGTCGCAAATTTGATGTGAATATTATTCAGAATATCGGAAAGTGAGTGAAAAATGAAATCTAAGTAGGAATATTACGTTACTATGAGCAATAGTATCAATTGACTCGATAATGATTGTTCAGCAATGTAATAGAATATTCAATGTATTCGTGCCTGGACTGACAGTGGCGATATCAGGTCTGCTGTCAGAATCTAGATCGCCCACAGCTAATGCATATGGATTCTGACCAGTTGGGTAAGTAATCTGATTGAGAAATGTTCCATTACCAGCATTCAAAAGCACACTCACGGTACTCGCTCCTTGATTCGAGACAGCTATATCAGGCATATAGTCAAAGTTCACATCCACTAATGCTAATATTTGTGGTTTCGACCCAGTTGTGTAAGTAACTTGATTAAGAAGTGTACCATTACCTTGATTTAGGAAAACACCCACGTTATTAGATCCTTGATTCGCAACAACAATGTCAAGTTTACCATCCGAGTTCAAATCTTTCACTGCTATTCCAAACGGATTGATACTGGTCGAATAAAGAGTGATAGTAGGAAACGTGTTAGTACCACTGTTAAGCAAAACAGAAATGGTAGCATTGCCAAAGTTTGCAGTAATGATATCGAGTGTACCATCGGAGTTGAGATCACCGACCGCTCCTGAGTACGGATGGCTGCCAGCTGTATAGTCCGTTCGAGGATAAAACGAACCATTACCTGCATTGAGGAAGATACTGACAGTGTTCGAAAGAGAATTTGTGACGACAAGATCCGGTTTTGTATCAAAATTCATATCGACTGCAGTGATCGATCGTGGACCACTGTTAGTTGTATAAGTAGTTTGATTAGGAAATGTTCCATTGCCTGCATTCAGAAGAACGCTGATATAAGGCGGATTGTAATTTGCGACAACGATGTCAAGTTCACCGTCGAGGTCCAAATCAGAAACTGCAATTGATGTTGAATGAGTCCCAACTGTATAAGTTGTTTGATTTGAAAATATTCCATTGCCTTGATTAAAAAAAATGCTGATAGTGTTCGAGCCATAGTTTGCAACAACTACATCAAGTTTATTATCCGAATTCAAATCGCCGATTGCTGCTGATTGTGGATTAGCATCAGTTGCATAGCCCGTTTGATTGCGAAACATCGAAGCTGCAATAAAATATCGTTTAATTAACATCACACTGATAAAAATTCTTTAGTATATTTATCTCATTGTATAACTTATTGTTTCATTGTCAGTCTGAAGAATGATAGTCGCTGTAGCGAGTTTATTCGACCGAAGATCACAGAAAGCAGTGTACGCCTGTTCTATTCATCGGTTTCTTTCTATTTTGAGAAGTCTTTCTGACGCACACGAAACTTTTCCTTTCGTATAGTATTTTTTTTTGAATAGAACTTTCACAACGATCATTCAGTCTAATACATACGACAATATGGAGTTGACGTTGATGATGTAGAGGTGGACGTCGTAGTGGATGTCGATGTGATACTCGATCCTATTTAGAAAATCATCAGTTAGACAATGATAAAAAGCTATTCCAGGAATGTGTTTGTAATATCTCGTCATCTCTATTGGTTATTTTCTGAAACCTTCTCCCAACACAAAACGTGTAATCATAACTGGTTCAGAAAGTCTACATTTTCTACTCCTCGTCAACTCACCGAATATATTTGCAATCAAAGACTGATTCGTATAGATGACCATCCAACCCACATCTAAATCCAGATCAACCAAAGTTAAATTTGAAGAAAACAATTGACATGTTTGATTTGATGAGCAATAGTTCAGTGCTGAGATCGATTGAAGGGAACTGATCATTTGACAAATACAGTGCTGTTGAGATTGATTGAAGAGTGTTCTGGAAACATTTGCAATCAATCTTGCTTGTTGGATTTGATTGAGAGGAATACAATGAGCGAGAGAAAGAATTGTAAGAAGAACAAAGGTTGTTCCCAACATTGTGTTGTCTATAAATGTTCAATACGCTCTGTCTTTTGTTTTGAATGAGTAGAAAGCTATATGAAAGAAAAAACGGAAAGTAATTTGGTTAAGTGCTTCGTAGTATGGAAGATGATAAACTGACAACATTGTCTTATTCGATGTCAAGTCTGTGGGTAAGCAAGAGGAATGTTTTGTTGAAATTGAGAAGTAACTTTCTGATTGCTTTTTTATGTCTGAAGCAATTACTTACCTGAGGGAAACTCTTTTACCGATGGGTATGTTTGTCATTGTTTCACTTTGATTCCGAACGATAGTTTTTTTCCGCGAAGAACTGAAGTTTTTCTTATATTGAGACAAACAATGTTTATACTTCCGCAGTGTATGAATGTTATTGTGTCAGAGCATCCGTCGGTTTGGTATTCGCAGAAAACGATCGAGATCCGTGGTAAGAATGCGTTTCATTGCAATTAAATCATGTCCTCGTTCAAATGCATCGGAATTACGACTGTTTTGTATATGATATGCAAATACTTCAGGATCCGCTGCTTCAAACGTAAACCGAAACAAGCATTTCTCGTTTGTTATTTCGAAGAAACATGCAAAGAACAGACATGAGCGCCTGCCTCGAGAAATCGATGCATCTCCACCCGCACCGCATTGAATTCCAACGTCTGGTTTATCTTTCAAATCAAACGATATCACCAACTTCACCAATTCTTTTCAATCATCGGCCGGTAAACTCAAAAAGCCTGAGCTGATTTCCAAAACATCGAATCTATACGAAAATTCACCAGAATTTCTTTCGTTTTCCTTACTCTAAATCTTTACACGTTTTTAAATATTGCTTTATCACCAACAGATGAAACTAAGACACGTTCGATGTAACCGTCTGTACTTACATAACATTTGTGTTTATGTGCAACGTTATAATTAAGTCACGTGAACGATGCTTCGATATCAATGAAAATGATCCATCAGAGAATTTAATTCTATCGACATATTCACTCCAATCTTGAAGCAATTCATCGAGGTACGTTCGTGAAACTGGTGCATAATACGGACTACAAATTTCGATGATGCCTTTCTTTCTGTTTGGCTTTGTTGGCAAAAATCCGAATGGTGATGAGGAATTATTCAGAAACTGGATGAGATTTGTCAGGGAAAATGTAGTATATGATGATAAAATATCGGCAATCGAATTTTTGTTGATTCGTTCGGAATTTCCACGGTTGAGAATATTTTCGTATAGGTGTCGCGTTTCTCTTCAATGTGAAAAGTCGACTCAATGATTTGAAAAGGTTACCTGGACATTTTAATCTGGTCTCATTCATCAGAATCTCTTTTCAATTCAATACAAAAGACAATTATTCTTATTCCATTGCAAATTCATAATGAAATCACATGAATATATTGAAACCTTTTGTGAATATAGAAAGTATTCTAATTCTGTTAAACGTTCTGCTTTTATTCAATGGTTAATAATCCTTCCTGGAGTGCCGAGACCTTATCACACCATTCTTTCAGTTCAAATAAATACGAATGGATTCTTTGAAATTAGGTTAGATTCCGGTCACAAACGTCACATTGGTCGAAATAGTGAATTGACTCGCGCAATGGCAACCAGATTCCTTCGAACTATCCTTGGTGCAATCATCATATTACAGATCAATGGATTATTTATTGTAATTAAATTTCAAAAATATCAACGAAATCCTTTTGTTTTTACTTAGAATCCAAAAATCGTACAAAACAACCTGGAAAGAAATGGTATATAAAATCCTTCTGATTTATCAATTACTAGAATTCATAGTATGTATTCTTTAGCTCAATTATTTCAAGGCGATATGCGATTTCCACCTGTTACCCGATCAACGGGTGTAAGTGAATTCTACTGATAAGGATATTCTGATCATAAATGTGTTTAGCGTTCATTAGCAGCAACATCTGCGACTTCGACAGTAACTTGGCCAGATGGAATTGTACCGTACGAGTTCGCCACAGGATACAGTGTGTAATCGGATAATCACAGAATGTGCGATATTGGATATGTTTTTATAGGTCTTGAAGAGGAAATGTATATTGTCGATGTCATGAGAAAGTTAGAACTCTTGGTTTCGGTTAATTTAGTGCGCTGTGTACAGTTTCGACCGAGAATTTCATCGGACCAGTATTATATCATCATAGAAAATGGAGATGGTTGTTCATCATATGTAAGCATATTAGAGATATTCCGAAGAAATCAAAACGAATATATAGGTTGGACAAAATCCTGATATTACGATGGATCGAATTGTTACTCTGCAAAGTTCCGGTTGCCTTTACGATGGTGTGGTCATGCATGAATTGTTACACACATTAGGTAGATTCACAATGCAAACGTATTCAATCAGAGTACAAAGTATCTCCTTTTCCTATAGGATTTCATCACGAACAATCTCGGCCGGATCGTGACAACTATGTTCGAATTAATCTCAACAATGTTCAAACAGGTACAACAACGGCTTGCATTGTCTATTTAAATCTATACAATCAATTCTTTCTATACAGGTATGGAATCTCAATTTCAAAAATATATCAGTCGAGTAACAACACTCAATACTCAGTATGATTATCAATCAGTCATGCATTATGCATCAACAGCATTCTCTCGAAATGGTTTAGCAACAATTGAACCACTACAAGCTAATGTTACAATTGGTCAACGTGATAGTTTAAGTCCAACGGATATTCAAGCCGTTCGAATTCTTTATAATTGTACAACCCAAGGAGTTACACTACCACCACCAACAACACAAAACATAAGTAATTTATACTTTTCTAATGAACTCGTGAGACATGTCGATGTTGTTTGTTTTAGCGAGCTCCTTTAGAATTAACTCAACATATTCATCGAGATTGACAACATCGAGTGCGCGTTTTAGCCGTTATAATGGTGGCAATGGAAGTTATTACTACGAAGCAATTCAAGTTACTGCTCTCACCGCTGGTAATTACCGATTTCGAAGTCTTAGTGTTGTCGATACGTACGGCTATCTCTATTTGGGTATTTTCTTATCATCATCACCGGAGAGAAATTTACTTGTTCAAAATGATGATAGCGCTGGTAATAATCAATTTCAATTTACACTATCGCTTCAAGCAAATACAACATATGTTTTGGTGATTACAACGTACAGCGCCAATGTTACCGGTGCCATAGACGTGGTTGTGTCTGGCCCGCAAGCAGTCAATTTTCTGCGCCTTGGCAGCTCGGAAACTGTATCAACAACAGCTTATTCGAACTATACTGGTGCATTGACCAATAGTAGTGCCCTATTTACTCGATATGGTGGAGCGGGGATATTTTATTACGAAGCATTGCTTGTAACTGTGTCTACAAATGGTACATATAATTTTACAAGTAGCAGCTCAATTGATACTTACGGATATTTATATGTGAATAATATCAGCGCATCTAATCTCTCGGCAAATCTTCTCGCATTCAATGATGATAGTGCCGGAAATGCGCAGTTTCTCATTACATCTTCTCTTGTAACAGGCAGAAGATACATTTTGATTTGTACGACTTACGGCCCGACTGTCACAGGAAGGTATTCTGCTATCGTCTCCGGTCTAGCTCAAGTTGGTCTTACGTCAATCAGTCTAGCACTTACACTACCTTCTACTAGCACAATGCTCCCAGTGACAAGTATGTTATTCAATGTTTTGTTGATTTCGATGACCGTATATTGTTCTTAGCTACAAGATCAACAACAAACGTCTCTAGTATATCTATAACAAATTACAATAGCACATTGACTAACAATAGTTCGACGTTTAGTCGTTACGGTCGATATGATAGATTCTACTACGAAGCACTAGAAATCACTCCATCCACGAACGGAACATATACCTTTACTACCACTAGTACCGTGGATACTTTTGGATATTTGTATGTTAATAACATCAGTGCATGGGATCTGTCTGCAAATCTAGTTGCATTCAATGACGACGATGCAGGAAATATGCAGTTTCGTATCATATACAATCTTCAGAGTGGTCGGAAATACATTCTGATATTCACAACATACAATAATGATGTAACTGGACCATTCTCAGTGGCTGTGTCTGGCCCAAATCTGGTCAACATCAACCGCATCACACTTGCACTTCAAGTTTCATCTATGACTACAGTATTGCCAACTACAACCTGTAAGTGCTACACTCTCATGAATATAATACATTGTTTACATCTATGATCCCTATATTTAGCTATAAGATCAACAACAGTCAGTACAAATCTAACTATGACGAACTATAATAGCACGTTGACTAACAATAGTTCGGCGTTTAGTCGTTACGGTCGATATGATAGATTCTACTACGAAGCACTAGAAATCACTCCATCCACGAACGGAACATATACCTTTACTACCACTAGTACCGTGGATACTTTTGGATATTTGTATGTTAATAACATCAGTGCATGGGATCTGTCTGCAAATCTAGTTGCATTCAATGATGATGATGCAGGAAATATGCAGTTCCGTATCACATACAATCTTCAAAGTGGTAGGAAATACATTCTGATATTCACAACATACAATAATGATGTAACTGGACCATTCTCAGTGATTGTATCCGGTCCAGCTCGAGTCACTATCAATCGCATCAATCTAGTACTTCCTGTATTATCGGCGACTACTCCATCAACATATTCTTCATCGAGAACATCTGTACCTACGACAGGAAGTTCTGCTGGCTGTAATAGATCTGATGATCGACCAACTTGCCCAGGTAAGCTTTGGTAGAACTGACACTGTTTGTCGGAGTTATGTTTAAAACATCATCTTTTAGCTCAAGTAGTAACGAATGGAAGAGGTAAGACTACACAGCTTGTCGATACCAAAATTAGTTTTTTTTCTCATAATCATTCTTTGTCTAGTTGTTACTGTCAACTCACAAAATCGAAATTTAACAGGGGATTCATTTTCGCCCAACAGTACGTTTTTCAATCTAAATGATTCGAGCCCAATGAATGGTTTTATTCAATCTATTACCGTTCAATATCGCGGATCGCGCTTACCTAGTATCAATGCTCGTCTATGGATCTATACAATCATTCCCATATCCGGCGGATTTATGATTTGCAGTCAACATTCCATTCCTTCATCTCAAATATCTACATCACAATTAATTCAAACTTATACTCTTCCGAATAATACAATTTATGTAGCTGAAAAGACTTATATTGGTATCGGAATTCAAGACACAACAGCATCGATAGCAACGACATTTGGTAGTATAGCATTACGCACAAGTAGTGCAAATCTTTCATCGAATATTGGATCGCGCGGAGCACGATATTTCTGGCCTGATGACGCCCAAACTGGGGTTAAACTCAGTTACACCATCGTTACATAATCAATTTTCTTTTGCACTTCAAAAGTGATCATTTTTACTCTATTTAATCTGGAAATTTCCTACATATTCTTTTATCTAAAAACAAAGCATATCTTAATCAATGAACCAGCATGTCATCGGATTCAATGTGAAAGTGTCAGGATTAATTGTTTATTCAAATAATATAAGAAAAAGGGCAAGCATGCCACAAATTTACACTTTTTGTATTTCCTTACTCAACTGGAGTTGCATAGGAAATTGTACGCTTTGTCGAAAGTCGATACCTTTAAATCCCAATGAAGTTATCGCATTGAAAAGTTTAATAGTTGACTGAAGTAATTCGTTCGATGGACGATAGGTACCGGAATTGTTGTTTAATCGAAGATGAGACTTTTCATCTCGCCAGAATTCACCAGCAAAACGAACATCTGTCGAACGGTTAGCTAACGAGATATGTTTACAGAGTAAATGGTAGGAGATATGACGATGACGAGGAACACGTGCGAAGATTAGAGTATCACCTATTATAACGAAATTGTACCGAATTTTCGATGTGCTCTCTAACAGTAAATCTTCCAATAAGTCACTTAATGATAATTTCGATGGCAATAGTTCACTATCATTGCTAATTTGACATCGTGTAGCATAAACGATTGGTTTCGAATAAAAGAAATGACGCTTACTCATATTCTTCCATGATTTCGCTGCAAAGGCTGGAAGTTTAGTTGGAAGATATTCATCGACAGTTGTTGATAACAGTTTCACTTCATAAATCGGATATTCATCAAAAAGTTTTTCAGTAAAATGCCCAAACGACGAGGGAACAGATTTATTGCCCAGCATTTGTCTATTTCCTTCCGATGTCAAGACGTCACCAGTGCAAAACTACCTTTCGATGAATGACGTTGTCGATCAATAACATTTTCCACCCATTTTTCATCACATTTTGTCATACGTTTATAATTATCGCACGTGTACATTACAAAATTGCAAGAGAATACGAACGTTGTTTACATTCTCTTCCTGTCATGTCGCCCATTGATCAGCAACTAAATGAATACATGACATTGTCGGGTATATATACGGATGCTCGGAGATTTATTTAATTAGCGTCACTCGGTGATGTTAGTGTCATAGATAGATGATATATCTTCCTTTGATTTCATCGATCTTCTCGATTTCGAAAGATTGGCCAGGACGTAGGAGCACTTCTTCTTCATTTGGATGCGTAGATAGACTCGCAATGATGTTTGATTTTGCGGTCTTAGGACAATCAAAGGGTGAGGGTGTGTGTGAGGGTGTGGGTGAAAATACGTGTATGTTATTGTTGGTTTTTACTCGAATAAATTACAATTTCAAGATAAAAGTTTTTCTTCATACGGTTTCTTCCTTTCTTTTCTACTCGTCACATTCTTTAACATTTTATTTTGTTGATCATCAGACCATTGACGAGATTACTTTTTCAAGATTATTTCATTCTTCTTCTTCCTACTGTCGTCAGAAGGAATTTGGAAATTGCCAAGAGTAGTTTTTTTCTCAATACATGTGCCACAACTACACATTTTATTTTCCGTCCTCAGACTTTTGGCTGTTTTAAACTTGAAACAGTATATTGCGAGCTTTTTTTGGTAAAGAAACATTCTTTTCATCAAAGCGCTCGTTTCTCCGAAGAATTGGGTATTTAATTCTATTCTTATCTTTCTTGTTATATTGAAAAACTATGTCAAGCGATAGTGATAGTGATTCTCAAGTAAAGCCTTCTCCACTGGGCAGAAAAGAGAACTTACTGGTTTATGTACCGGATCTCCCAATAGATTATCCTGGTGATGACCTGCAGGGCAAACTTCGTAGCACCATCGAGAAAACTGGACGGATGAAATTGAAGAATGTCCAATGTCATTTAAAACTTGGTGTTGCAATAGTTGAATTGAATAACGAAGAGGATCAAACGTATCTTCTTTCAGATGGTCAATCTATGATGTTTGACCGAGAACTCAACATCAGTATTTCATTTGTTGATACATTAGATTTGGACACTTACATTGTTGTCGATCAAACTATGTCGAAGATTCCTTCTGGAACTGATATTTCTCGTCGATATATGCAAATATACAAAATAAAAGAGGAATATCCATGTGAATCGATATCTACTCAATTTCCGAATATTTTTCGTATAAGTTTAAACGATCTTGATGAACTTTTAGCTGCAGTTGCCGCGCCCAATTTCAAAATAGGAAATCATTTCGCACAGGTGTATCCACGGGCTGATTGCAATTTTTTCGAAGATTTACCTTCGACTAGTAATACTGATAAGATCACCAGTGTAGTTGCGACACAAATAGACGAAACAAAACTTCCTTCGACTTGCTTTTACATACAATATGATAAGGAAACAAGCAATGCAGTTGTTATAGCAACAAAAGCATCGAGAAAATGGAAAACTCAAGGCTTCATCATCATTGATGGACAAAATTTCTCGAAAAAAGCCAAACTCGCTTACCGAGTTATTGTCTCCCCTGTTCCTAATGGCTTTGATATCAACCGCATTCTGCAACATACACTTTTTACAGGCCAAGTGCGTGATCACTCTCTTGTCGAAAACCATCTCATCATTGAACTCAACGATGTGCACGCATACAGTCATTGTATGGAAATCGGTGCACTGCGGATCGATAAGTTTACTATGGAGATCAAACCGCATAGAGTTGATAGGAATCCAGATCAATGCGAGATTACGGCAGAGAATTGGTATGAAACAGCGATGTTAGATGCTGAGCCTGATATCACAACCATTATGAATAATCTTCAACATCCGATTCTTCATTATAAATGGAATGCTCAAAATTGGATCGAACAATTTAACAAAGCTGAAGAGAAAAGAAGTAAACAATCGAAATATGATCGGGTTTTACATTTATTACGTGTAACAGTTATGCTCAACACGATTGCAATTCTTCGAAAGCAGAAGTATGTTGTCGATGGTCAAGAAGTAACACTCAATTTACAACGTTTGAAAACAATTGGATATGACCATCGGTCGAAATTACTCGATGGGAAAACGATTATGCAGACAGAATTGAAGATCCCGTATGAATCAACAACAGTTCATGTTGTTATGGAAGATTGTCTCGTAGTTTATGAGAAATTAGTTTCACAGGGACATAAACCATTGTTATTGAACATGGCGAATGCAACTAGTCCCGGTGGTGGTTATCGGAAAGGTGATGGTGCTCAGGAAGAAAATCTGTTTCGTCGATCCGATTATTATCAAAGTTTGGACTTCGAAATCGCTAATAAAGATCGGTCAGAACCGCTTTTTTGTAACGAAAAAGGCGCCTGTAAAAAGCCAACCGGTTATCGTGGCTTCTATCCCATGGAACTGTTCGGTGCTATTTATACATCTGGTATAACTGTCTTTCGACAGAGAGAAAAAGAAGAAGGTTATGCATATATGGCTAAACCACTTACAAACGTTTGTTCTGTAGCTATGGCAGCTTATCGAGATCCTACATTGAACAAAAACAGCATGTTAGAAGACAAATTTGCTGTCAATACGCATAAAAAGATCGAAAGTATTTTTGCAATCGGACATCAACATGGACATAATTGTTTAGTTTTGTCCGCTTTCGGTTGTGGCGCGTTTAAGAATCCACCCGAACATATTGCTTTACTTTTCAAATCTGTTATAACTCAGTACGCTGGTTATTTCCATGAAATTTACTTTGCTATTATCGATGATCACAATTCCAAGGGTAAAATCAATCCAGATGGAAATTTCGCACCGTTCCACAAATGTTTACATAATCAAGTTTTCCGTCCACCGGCCACATTACGTGTCAATGGGATATCCGGACCGTATCGTATTCTTAATAAATCATCCGATGGACAATTAACTCTTAGTGATGTACGTATCTTACACAAATCACCATGCCATCATGGATCGAGATGTCGTGATCTTAGAAATGCTCAACATTGTAACGAATTCTCACATCCACCTATATGTTCTCATCAGAATACCGAATCACCATGTCAACAAACGGATGACGAAGTACATCGATTTACATTTCAGCATAGCAGCAAATGTAAATTTGGTGGCGAATGTAAAGATACTGATCCGAAACACTTCAGCGAATATGATCATCCAGATTTCTGTAAAGACAATAACTATTGTGTCGATATGAGCAAAGAGCATCTATTTTCTTATCGTCATTTGCCGATCTGCCGTGATGGAATGAAATGCGTGGAGTATTTAAAAAGAAATGCAGATCATTGTACTAAGTATCGTCATTGTAAAACGATCTGCCCTCGCGATAATTGCTGTGTACAATTTCATGATAAAGATCATACCGATAATACAATTCATTCGTTTCGACAGCCTTGTCCATTTACACCATACAGTTGTCAAAAGTATATTAAATATACAATGCGTACTGAAGGGGAAAAACTTTCACAAGATGTGGAAAAGCATTGCCTCACTTACTCGCATCTGTGTGCGTTCGGTCGGCAATGTAAGACAAAGGACAGCAAACATCTTCTAACATCGATTCATATTGCTCGTCACATTTGTCCCGATGGAGATGCATGCGCTAAAAGTACGAATGAACAACATTTGGAGTCATATTCTCATCCGCGCATACGAGATTTTCGTCTGTTCTGTAAATTTCCAGGTTTCAAGTGTCGCAATCGATTTGAACATGAACATTTAAGAAAATTTCGCCATGGCGATAATCACGATCATTTAACCGTCGCACCATCCAGTAACTTGAACTCTTCGATTAATTTCACGCGCAATCAAGGAGATATCATTCGAAACCTGAATTCATACATGGATGCATCAGGCTGGAAAAAAGCGTCAATCTCTCGAGAGGTACGCAATTGGATACAAGCATTACAACCTACACACCGTTGTAGTCCACTTATTTTCGAGTCGATTCTTGTGCTTGGGCATGTTATGAGTCGTCGGTACATGGAGCTGCTTAAAAAGCCCAAAAATGTCGCCAAAGCTGTACTACAACATGGTCGTATACGTCGGATTTTTCTCGAACATAGCAATCCGGAAGTAAAACAGAATGTGTATGAATTGATTAAGCTTATAGTTGTAGCAGAATTCGCCAAAGCAAAAGCTGATGAAGTACCTCCGTTGGACGCAGATCACGATGTTCATATTCACAATATTGAAAGAAAATTGAAGCCGCCACTTGATGATACGAGTATTAAGGTTATACACGAACGGGCTGTTGAAATAGCGCAAGCATAAATTAAATTAACTTCGAAACCAATGGGCATCGGATACGAAGTCGATACAAAACTAGGAACAGATCAGCATGTTTTTAGTATATTGGGACCGCACTACGGCTCTTATTACGGTGATATCGTTATTACATTCAAACAAGAGATCATGTTTCATCCAGATGCGAATTTTTCCATTCAAGCTGGAACAGGTTTCTATAGTGATAAAGCTTATTTACATCGTCCGTGGTGGAAAGATCCGAATGACGAAAATCAACGTATCAACTGTTTTCATAGTGCTAAATTACATTGCTCTGTTCCACGCTATGAATCCGCAGCTGCCATTGAACTCATTGCTGTCACTAGTAAATCGCAGAAATCAATGGATACCAGCCTTGACACGATTATCCAACAATGGACAGCTGTTGACTCACATTTCGTTTTCGAAGGACATCTACCTCAATTGATCCCTTTAGATTACATTGATAATGTTTATATGCCGAAAAATTTGTTTCAAGCATTAAGTGCTCCAGCTCAACATTCTGCTCGAGCAGTGTTTAAAGAAGCATTGATTCTGACTGATCACGTAATCGATCTTAATTTGATTCAGCCAGGTAAACCTGTTCCCTTAGATTCGACTCGTAAACCTTATCTAGCATTTACACTTGAACAAAATCTTGAGAAGATCAAACAACGAATGGCAGCACCACAGATTTCTCGCGGGATCGTCATCACTGTTCCTGGAACGAAATTTGACGAGCAAATCGTTATGCCAATCACTGTATCTCAATCATACAGATTGTATTGCCTCGATAACACTCAAGCGCCCAACCATCCGGAGTACACTTACGTGTATTGGCAAGTCATGAATGGTGATATGATGTTAACATTATCCAACGAAATTATCCAATCGACTGACGAAGATCAAAGCAAACTACGATGTCTTCTTTGTTACATTGCAGAAAAGCCATCCCAAGCAAACGAAGACTATCATGAAGCTTATTCGTATTTGAATGATGATCATCCTGCTCGACATTACAATAATATTTACAAGGCACAATTTAAAGCGAGATCAAATGTCTTCTATCGTGGTTGTAATACCGATGATTATGTAACTTGTTGTTTAAAAATTATTTATCAAACAAATGAAGCCACCTTGTCGCATGCTGGCCCAAATGGCATTTACAACTATGAAAAGATTCATTACCGATTCGATAAATCAACATTGGACTTATCTCGATTAGATTATATTCATGTTAGTGCAGGTTCTCAAGATGTTCCCATACGTAATTTAATCATTCGTCACGAACAAGTGCCTGATTTGCATCCAACGTTCGATAAAGATTTTACAATTGATACATCTGACCTATTAGACCAACGACGTGCATCCTTTGATTATGCAGCGAATGTTGGCTATTCCGGTAGTGTGAAAAAGAAAGGGCCAAAGGAATCTAGACTGAACAAGGTTATATCGCGCACACCTATCACTACACAACAACCAAAAGTAGAGCCAACAAGTATTTTTCAACGCATAAAAACCGTACTATGTTGTTCGTCAGCAAATGTTATTGTACCAGGACCGAATCCACCACTTCCAGCAAGAACAACGGCTTCATCATCGGTAGCTCCTTCAAAACTACCGCCTTGTCGTGATTCGATCTATTGTTTACTGTTGGAAGACAAAGATCATACTGTTAAATATTCTCATCGATGTCGTTTCAATGAATTATGTCGAAATAAAGATAAAGAACCTCATCTCACCCATGAACCACATCGAGTTCCACAATGTTCAGACGATAAAGACTGTTCCAATCGAACGAATCCTCTACATCGTGCTCAATTTCGACATACAGGCTTACCCGACTTTCTTATACCATGCCGTAATGAAGACAACTGCTACGGAAAAACTACCGAGCACCTCATAAAGTACTTTCATGGCGAAGAAATTCCTCCATTCAAAAGTAAAACCATATTTTCCCCACAAAAATCTCATTTCAATTTTATTTTTTTTCAGAAAATAAAGTAACAGGAGGACGTCATTTAACTCCATGCAGATACGGAGCCAAATGTCGATTAACAGAAGATCCTCAACATACGGCTAAATATTCGCATACGACTTGACCCATTACACCATGAACTCTTTAAAAACTACATGCAACCAAAATCAATCATTTTTCTATCTAGATTTTTATTCTGCTTTCGAAAAGATAAAAAGCGTCTATTGTCATATACGAGTTAGATTAATGAAGGTGGTGGAAGCAGCTCTTTGCCTGCTGAATCATGAGGAATATCTCGTTCAAGTGGTGGTAATAATCTCCACGGATGATAAATCGACCAGGAACAAAGGGCCACAGCAAGTGGAACCAAATGACCGACATAGAACCATAATTCCTTTTGAGAAAGAACGTTGAACAGAAACGGTATCGAAGTCAAGAGAATATAAACTGCTTCGATCAACACACAAGCACTTGAAATCGCCAATAGGGGTAGAACATAAAGACGACGAACATGTGGAACTGCTAAATACCAAACTAAATAGTAAAAGAGAGCGAGACTAAGGACGCAAATAGCTGATGCTTGACGAAGATAAAAACTAAGATAAAGATGATTCGGTTTAAGTGAAAGTTCATTTGCGATGGCAAGAAGTATATCAGCTGAAAGTGCAAAAACTAAAACGACAGCATCAATAATTCTATCGAGGGGTCGGTGTGGTTTTTGCCCACGTAATTCTACTAAACAATGGTAGTTAGCGAGTAATATAAACCGAGCAGGCACACTAATCAATGGTGCTCTTATCTTGTAAAGTGTTGTTGTATGTAAAACATCATTATGAACAGTTGCACGCAGGACAAGTTCAATAAAAACAGTTAAATGCGCGACAAATACGAATACCGACAGGAGACGTGGTTGACATTTGCCATGTAATGATTGAACGAACCAAGCGACCAGTGATAAATATACAAAAATCGCAAAACTTGTTGCACCGAAACCTGAAGGAGTGTACGAATCGAACGGGTAAGTAGAATTCATCCCGTCAACAAATGTTTTCACCATCCAATGAATGATGAAAAAAAGAGTATTAAGTATAAGTTATAACTTGAAACGAACGTTCTTTTTGTCACATACTTTAGAGATACGCAAAGAAAGGACAAATGTACTGCACACTTTTAGTACGTACGAAAAGAGAACGGTGAACCATCCAATTAAATAATTACATGCGTAATACGTGTACTTGTTAATGTAATTGATGAGTGCGTATCAAATAAACGAAAAACCACTTGCGTATCGGCAAATTTTTTTTCTCACCAAGAGAAAAAGCTCGTTGTCAATAAAAAGACGGTGGTGGTGGCGCGAGCAGCTCGTTGCCACTTGCATCGCGGGGAACGTTCGCTTCGGATGGCGGTAGGAACCTCCACGGATGAAATATTGACCATGTGACAAGTGCAACAAACATAGGAATAACATGACACACGTAATAATAAAACTCATTCTGTGTCAGAAATGAAAAAACGTGCGGTATTGATATGAGAAAAGTGTAACCTGTTTCAATCGATACACAAATACTCGATACAGTTACTAGAGGTAAAACATATAAACGACGAACACGTGACACTGCAAGATACCAAAATATATAGAAAAGCAAGGCGAGAGAGAAACTAAATCCATTGGATGCTTGACGAAAATAAATACTTAATTTCTGGTGCTTTTGAGCAAATGAGAAATCGTCAGCAAGGCATAGGAGACTGTCCATATTCAGCACGTTTAACGGAATGACAACATCCATCAATCGATCGAGTATTTCACTTGGTTTCTTTCCTCGTAGATCAACCAGACAACGATAATTTGCTAAGAGCAACAATCGAGGAGATAAACTACACAATGCTGATGTTATTTGACGGTATATTTTCGTGTTCAATGTGTCGATGTTTACTGTCGCGCGTAGAATAAGTTCGACGAAAGTTATCAAATGAGATAAAAATATGAACAGACTGAGAATATACGGTCGATATTTAAAGTGTAATGTTTGAATAAACCATGCAATTAATGAGATGTAAACAATCGTTGCAAATATACTTGCTGCATAACGTGATGGGATATATGAAGAAGTTATTTGAGTAGAATTAATCGACATTATGTTGAAAGAATAGCTGCAAAACCATCATATGTTTAGCAGTTCACTTTTTTAAATTAAAAATTTCCTTTTTCTTCTCGACAGAATACGAAAAGAAGAAGAGAAGTATCTGTAAATAAACGACCTCATCAGAAAACATTCAGATCGAGGCCGAACGTTGATTCAATCTTTCTTCGAAGTCATTTAGACAGCGATCATCCGTCAACAACGGTAACACTCTCCACGGATGATACATCGACCAAGTACAAAGCGCGACAACGAGTGGAAACGAATGGCCCAGATAGAAATACAATTCGTTCTGTACGAGAATATCGAACAGAAATGGTTTGAGTGTCATTTGCACATAGATGGCTTCGATTAACACACACGTGCTTGAAACTGGTAGTAACGGTAAGGTGTAAAAACGCGAGAGATGTGAAGATTCGAAATACCAAAGTAAATAGAAGAAGAGAGAAAGAAAAAAAACCAGAACAGCTGATGCTTGACGAAGATAATCTGATTGCGAGGAAAGTTCATTGACTACATGAAGAAAGATATCGGTGAATAGAATAATGGTTAAGACAATAAATTGCGCGAATGCTACATGTGACTTGCGCAATTCAGCTAAGTAACTATAGTTACTCAACAGTAAAAATCGAGGCGAGAGAATCGAGAGAAGCTTCATAATCTGAGGATATATCTGAATATACTCGTTCGTCAACGTCGCACGTAAGATCAATTCGATAAAAGTGATCAAGTGCGATAATAAGATAAACATAACGAAATATCTCGGATGACATTTCGAATATAATGCATGGATAAACCAGGCGATTAAGGATATGTAAACAATAATAGCCACGAGTCCTGCGGCATATCGTGATGAAATGTAACTCGGAAACGAAGCATTGATTTCGGTGACATTGGTCGCCACATTTGACGTTGATTGAAAGAGTAAACGATGCATGAGATGCTCCACCATTATTGCATGGCATAAAGAAAATGAAATGAACCTAAGCTGATTCTGCTCGAAGACTTATATGCCTTGTCGTATAAGAAGAATAATCCGACTGACAAGTTGACATGCGAGAAAAAAATTTCCTAATTAAAGTCTTGTTAGTACGATTTATTAATCAGATAGAATGACTCGAGGCGATCAAATGAATGCAACAAAACATCAGAAATTTCTAGAACATAATTCTTCAATATGACGATTATCAGACGAATGATGTATCAATGCATAAAATACATTTTGAATGTTACACACAGATTTGGAATCCGTTTGACGATAATTTTCATTCGTACACGGAAGTTCTTAAAATGTATCTGTGTGCAATTCAGCTCCATCTTGATTCACTTTCTCAAAACAACATAAGTAATCCTATTTTAATTAAAATTGAAGAAGACAACGCCAGAAATAGACCTATTTTCGAGATTTTTGAGTTAAATTCAAAGTAATCAGAAAATAATCTTTCACATTAACAGTAGCGAATGCGACGTCGATGGATCAATATTTCATTACATTAACAAATCAAAGCAACCTACGAAATTCTAATCTTAATCGTCGATGTTGTGTAACTTCGAACAATACCTTTTTATTTACATTTTGACATCTCATGAACTACTCGCATGTCTTTGTACAAATCCGATACACTCTGCTCATGTTCTAAGATTTTTTTCCGCTTTTTCTCTGTGCGATTCCGGTTGACGATTTTGTACATATTCGACATTCTTGCTTATCAGAATCTGTATCAAACAATGATCAAAGGTGATGATGGGATTCTCATGAAGTTTATTCAATGAATCGTTTTGTATACTTAAAATGTGCATTAATTATTCAACGCTGATTGAATAGAATTTATAAATCAAAAACAGTTGCTTAGTTCATTAGCAATAAATAAGAGCATATGTTCTTGTTCGTCGAAAATCTGAACATATTTCGGAATATTCGATGGTAGTTTTTGTCTCAGTTGCGCTCGATCTTGTGTATCAACAACAATGGAAACATTGAAGTTGACTGTATAGAAGAGTCTCATGACATCCGTAATGTTTTTCGATTCTTTAGAAAACCGACCAGAACAAATAACCAAAACTTTTTGTCGTTGTTTGATTTTGTCGATATTTTGATTTAGATACGTTCTTGTTTCGTTAAAAGTTTCCGTAAACTGAATTTCTAGCTGGGGATACATAAGAAGTAACTGTTCTACTGTCGTTGGATGATGATCGTCCGTGCCGATCCATATGAAAAGTAGATTTCCTTTCGGTTGCTTCGAATAGGATACTGAAATATTCTTTCTAAATACAACAGGCGAGTTCATCGATTCCGAACGAAGTTGTACATGGGAAGCGCGACAACCAGAATTCCATTGCGCTTCTTGATTAATCCCAACGAATTCATAGAGATCAAAAAGTGTATCCGTTGCAGTAACATTCGGAAATTCCAATGCTGACTGAATTTCATCACGTTTATTCGTAAAAAACAGTATTGGAGTATGTGCTTCTTGAGTTCGGATGGTTGTTATGAAATCTATCGCTATCAACTGATTGATTTCGGACCAGATAATAACGACTTTGAAAAGATTGCCTCGTTCGTGCATTGATTCTCGATTTTTGACCATCCATTTCTTTGCAGCATCGATCGTGCGAACAACTCGAGTTTCAGTCGAAGATACTTTCGGTAAATTTTTTATGATATCATCGTTGGATTCGTTTACAATCCATAAGGAAACAAAACGCTGACGAAATAAGACACTCGGCTTAGAAGACAACGATTTATGGTTCAAGCGTGGCACAGCGAGAAAGTTTTGTTGTTCGAATGGATATGTCCCTTCGACAAGAACATCAGCTCCACTCATTTCTCTGGTTGGCCATGGATTAGCTAAGGAAAGTTGAGCGATCGCATTTGGATTTATTCGATTCGGTGCATATCCTAATTCTTCATCGGTAATCGGCCGATTCGTATGAGGCCAATCCGGTCTTTCTGTCAGACGTTGCCGCATATCTTGTAATTTTTCAATTAACCGTTTTCTATATCGAATATGACAATGGCTCATTGCAACGTACGAATAGGACTCGACCACACTTTGATCAATTGGATCGATAAGGACACGCAAAGATCGCCCCTGTTGTTCTCGTGCACGAAGACGAGCCATGAAACCTTCGTAATCAAGAAAATCAAGAAAACGCAACGGCCGACGGATATCAACCGTTTCATTTGGACAACATCGAAGAATATTTCGTGCAAGTGCCATAGCTGCTTTCATGCCACTGTTCATACCGCGACCAGGCCAGAAATGAACATTCAGAGCTGCGTCACCTGCTAAACAGGCTAAGACTGTTTTATACTTCTTTGTTTCTTCGTGAACGTCTTCTTTGAGTTCAAAACGAAGTTCTCGAACGACAATCGCTGCATGTCGAACATTAATTTCGATGGGTGCAACGCGAACAACATATTTCGAATGGATTTTGAAGAATTCCAAGCCTTGTCGAATAATACTCCAAACAATCGAACTGTTTGGACATTGATTTACATCCGATAAGTTTATCAATTTATTTTCATTTTGAAATTCCTGTAAATATCCACGTAATTCATCGTATTCACTCTTGATCAAACGAATATTCAAATAACCACGACGACTTGACGATGAATTAACGAGATAGCGCGTTTGAGCTACAGTTAAAATACAATTCAATGCTTGGTGTAACGGTTCTTCGGAGGAGGGTACTTCCGTTGGAATATTATATGCAACACCACAAGCATATTCGACTCCTTCACTCACCATTGGTATGTTACAATAACGACGTACAAATGAATTCGAACCATCGGTACCGATGAGAAGATCGAAATCACCTTTTACAAGACGTTCGGTTTGTTCATGTAATGATTCAGGAATCAATTCTACTTGACCAGCTTGTACAAATGGTTGAATCAAATCGAATAATCGATCTTCAACTTCTCGTATCGGGATGTTTCTTGACGTTGGCCAAACTCTCTCATCAATATTCTGAAAAAGACCTTTTTGAACATAAACAGGCATTTGTTCGATAACATGATCTTGTAGTGTGACAACTTGATCGCGACGCATTTTGCCCTGTTCTTCGCCTTGCCATCGGATTAAACTATTTTCATCAACAAACCAACGCCCTTCATAAATGATAATTTTTACGCGTTTACCCATCATCATAACAAGGTTCAACGAGAATGTTAAACCAACTGGCCCACCACCAGAGACAATCACAGTCAATGGAGACGTATCGGATTCCTTCATGCGAGTATCTACAGTTATCTCAATAACGTCGACGTTTTTAATCAATCATGTGAAATAAGCACATTCGTCTTATATATAAATACTATATGGGAAGAGATGATTAAAAGGGAAAGTAAAAAACGTTTCGGTGAGAATATGATCAACAGATGCATATCATGATTCTGCACACCTTTCTACTCGGATTAGACACACTTCTGTGTCTTTAAAATATCAATCCGGTCGATATGTCAAGAATGATATCACATAGGTAGTGATGTCATGCGCACATTATGGATTATTCTTCTATCGTGTTACTACAGGTAGTAAAACGATATTGTTATTGACTGTCTGGTAAAAGGATCAGATTATTCGTTTATGATAGTTCTTCACATACTTCATATGTCTACAAATGCCAAATAGGAGAAAGTCAAGCACATGCGTAATTTTACAGTTCTCGCAGAATGTATAAGAAAGCAAAGCAGAGCAATGCTTTACATTTATCAATCTGAATTACTTTCGATCAAACTTTAATAAAAAAAAACGAACGAGCATATTATAACACATTCTATATGTACTCTTCTCTTAACGAGAGAGAGAACGAAATATACTGTCACAAACGTTTTTAATCTTAATAGTTCTTATACTTTCGCGCTCTCTGACACGCTAATTATCATGTCAATCATTCTACGGCTTAATGACATTCTGTGTTCACTCTACTCTGTCGATCGATGCCGTTTATCAAAATACACATAATACTGTTTGCTTGATTTTTGCCAGTATTTCATCACATCCAGCTCAACTACACTTCTTTCTGGTGGTTATAAGGTTGGCGACAGGCAAAAGTGGAGCAAATTTTTTTTTGTTGAATTTTTTATGTGATATGATGCAGTTTGATGCGCTGAATCCGAATATGTATAATTTATTGACATATAAAGTCGTCTTCGAGGAGAAATCTTCAAAATACTACAAAAACCGAGGTTTTCGAAAAGTCAGGATTTTCACTCGAAATTTGACAGTAGGGTTTTCAAAAAATATGTTATACCTTTGGAAGTTTCTGCTCCTGATTCAGCATCAAAAACTGATTCTAGGACACTACTTTTTAGCGGTTCGACTCATGTCTTTGTCATTGAGAAAAATCAGTTTTGTTAATANCGCCCTCAAACCCCCATCACAGACGTTACAGACGCCCTCAAAATCCCCATCACAGACGTTACAGACGGCCTAAAAAGCCCATCACAGACGTTACAGACGCCCTCAAAATCCCCATCACAGACGTTACAGACGGCCTAAAAAGCCCATCACAGACGTTACAGACGCCCTCAAAACCCCATCACAGACGTTACAGACGCCCTCAAAACCCCATCACAGACGTTACAGACGCCCTCAAAATCCCCATCACAGACCGTGACCGACAGGCCAAAAAGCCCATCACAGACGTTACAGACGCCCTCAAAACCCCATCACAGACGTTACCGACAGGCCCAAAAACCAGTCAAATACCGTTGTAAACAAGCGCAAAAGCCCTGTGATAAACCGTTACCGACTGGTCTTGACTGTTACTCACTGTTCTCTGTAAAAGGTGTATCTAAAAAATGAAGAGAGAGAGAGAGACAGGTTGTTATGTGAAAAGGCAAAGAAACTCTATATCTTTGTCTGACAGACAGGGTGACTCTCAACTACGTTACGTCGACCCACGTAGATCTCACCGTCAGCACAGATCGGAATCGGTTAATGGAAGCGCAATAAGAAGCATCACATATTGTGACCGATGAAACGAAGATCTTTTAACAAGCAGCGGACATCACTATTGAGAATGATATCCCAGGTCGAACAATCCCATACTCGGATCCCACGTCGGATCTCGTCGGATCCGAAACATGGATTTCCTGGATTTTCTAGTCGGATTCCAATGCAATTCCGTTTCCAGGAATCCGATCGGATTTTGTCAGATGCTCGGATCCGGTCAGATCCGATCGGATCCAGCATCGGATTTGTTGATCTGGGATGTTATTTTCAACAGCTTAAGTTTAAATAAATAGGAATGCACACTGGGAAGTAAATCGACCATTCTATGTGTTGAAAGTTTCTCCAGTTGGATCGTGTTTCACATTTTTAATCCCGTTAGGGATTGCGCTGAAAGCTTTATTATATACACATGTATTTATCTATTTATTGCAATTCCAATTGAAGAACAAAAATTACAATCAGTATTTGGTAAAACATATGTCAATTATCAACAACATGTACCATGTATTATACCGAACTTTTGTCAGAAGAAAAACGCATAAATATTAAAGTTTTTTTCTTTTTTCTAATGGATCAAAATGAATATTATAATATTTCGTATTCTATTAAAAAAACAAGAAATATACACGTGTTTCTTCTTTTTCTTTCATTTTCTTTCGTTCTGTATGACTCAAGAAAAAGTACGAATCAAAACATGTAACTAAAGTATTTTGCGATTTTGCATTGTCATTATGATACATCTATATCTAATATATAAATATCAAAAGAAATTTTCCTACTTATTTTATGAATAAAAATCTTTTCTACAATGACATCTGTTCAACAGCAGATACCAAGTACTCAAAAAGCATTACAATGGGTTAGAGTAAGTGGTACAAATCCATTTGAATGGACAACATCAGCACCAGTGATTGAACCATCGGAATTAGATGCTAATCAAGTTTTAATTGAAAATCATGCTGTTTCTCTTAATCCAATTGATTATAAAATTGCTGAATCTAATTTTCTTAATGTTAATTTACCATCAGTAACAGGTTATGATGTTAGTGGTCGAATTGTTGCAATCGGAAATGATGTTCAAGATTATAAAGTTGGTGATGAAGTTTTCGGAACGTTAAGTTTCAAACCAGAAAAAGGTGGTGGAGCATTTCAACAATACTCTGTTGGAAATACTGATACATTAGTTAAAAAACCAAGTAATCTCAGTCATGAAGACGCAGCAACACTTGGTGTAGCATATTTATCTGCTCTCGAAGGTCTTCGTCAAGTTAATATTGATTCAACAACATCAGTGTTTATTCCTGGTGGTTCAGGTGGTGTTGGTCATTTTAGTATACAAATTGCTCGAATTCGAGGTGCAAAACAAATTATTACATCAGCATCAAAAGATGATGGAATACAAATACTTAAAGAACAATATAAAATAAATGATGTGATTAATCATTCAAAAGAAAATGTTGTTGATCGTGTATTGGAATTAACACAAGGACAAGGTGTTAATATTGTTTATGATTCAACTTATCTTCCATCAAGTTTTGAAAAATCAACTCAAGTTGTACGAGAAAATGGTTCATGGATTGTTCTTGGTGATTTCGGAAAAGAAGGAAGTCCAGAAGCAATTAATGTTGCTCAACGAAAAGCAAATTTAGTTCATGCAGAGTTAGGACGTTATTGGTTTGGACCTGAACAAAAACAATTAAAATCATTCTTTTATGATGGATTGACACAAGCAGCAAAATGGATTCAAGAAGGAAAATTAAAACCGTATATTAATAAAATTATAAAACTTGAAGAAACAGAAAATGCACTTAATCAATTGAAACAAGGAAAAGGTGGATTTGGAAAAATTGTTATTAAACTTGTATAAACTTTTGTCTTTTTTCTTTTTAAAATAAAATTATAAGAAATGAGCAAAATTTATTAATTTGTTTTTCCAAACTTTTACCACATACTCGTTCATCTAACATCTTATTCTATAGAATTTTATTCAAACTTTTATCTATCCACTTGTATGTATAAGTAATGTAGCTCACACACAAGATGAACTCTTTCGATTATTAGAATGAAATGTGATGGTAGTTCCCTATCCGTTAAAACAACAACAAAAGAGAAAAATAAAAGACTGAAAATTTATTCGATTTTTGTAGAATTATTCTTCCAAAATCTTTCCAATGAAATCTTTAATTATCTAGTCGATCATCATGGATTTAAAGTTATTAAATCATTTCTTCTAATGATTCTCTTAATTTTGGTCGAAAAGTAAGTATGTCGAAAATAAAAATGGCACAAACGTCGAACGACAGATAATGAAAGACACAGTCTTCCTCACCTTCACTCATACATCTTTACCCTCATCCTAATTCAGATTATATTATATTTGCATTAATTTATCAAGAATTTTAGATGTATTATTGTCAAATTCAAAAATAAATAAAATCTGATTTGAAAAGAAAAAAACATTATTAAATTTAGATCGTAGTTCATGCAAAAATTGTTGTAAATTCTTTTTACCATTATTAATACGATAATAATCATTTACTTAATGTATTACGATACAAATAAAGAAGATTTATTGTTTTTTATTCGATATAAATAGGACTACTGAGACTTTTTCTTTTTTTATATGGCAGATTGTTTTTCGCTTCCATGTAACATCTAATTACATCACTTGTTGTTGTAAATATGCAAAAAAACATTTTATCGTAAGAATAAATGTATGTATATATCTTGTTCAAGGAAATCCATATTGATATTTTACTTGCACTAGCTCAACAATTGATACCACTATTCAAAGCAGTCGATCATCACCGATAATCTTTCTTTTATTATCATATGTCGATTAAAAACAATCAGAATTAATGGAAGAAAATCCTTAATAAAATACGTGTATTTCGTATTTATTGACAGTACTTTACAATATATGAAGTCAATTGAAAAAAAAATCATTTTTCATGTTTTATGAATATTCATCATTAATATTATTTCTAATTAAATGTGAATCATGAAACTTTTGATTCGCAAATAAGCGTATGATTGAAGGTAGAAGTTTTTTTACTTAGAATCCAAAAATCGTACAAAACGACCTGGAAAGAAATGGTATGTGAAACCTTTCTGATTTATTAATTACTAATTTTCATACTATTTATTCTTTAGCTCAACTATTCCAAGGTGATATGCGATTTCCACCTGTTACTCGACCAACGGGTGTAAGTGGATTCTACTCATAACGATACTCTGAGCATAAATGTGTTTAGCGTTCATTAGCAGCAACATCTGCCACTTCAACAGTAACTTGGCCAGATGGAATTGTACCGTACGAATTTGTAACAGGATACAGTACGTAATCGGATAATCACAGAATGTGCGATATTGGATATGTCTTTATAGGTCTTGAAGAAGAAATGTATATTGTCGATGTCATGAGAAAGTTAGAACTCTTGGTTGCGGTTAATTTAGTGCGTTGCGTACAGTTTCGACCGAGAATTTCATCGGACCAGTATTATATCATCATAGAAAATGGAGCAGGTTGTTCATCATATGTAAGCATATTGACATTTGTATAGATATTTCAAAAGAAAACGAAACGGTGATGTAGGTCGGACAGAATCCCGGTGTCACAATGAATCGAACTGTTACTTTGCAAAGTCCGGGTTGTCTCTCTGATGGTGTAGTTTTACATGAATTATTACACACGTTAGGTAGATCTACGATATCAGAGTATATTCAATCAAAGTAAAAAGTATCTTCGGCTTTTTTTTTACAGGATTTCATCACGAACAATCGCGACCGGACCGTGACAATTATGTTCGAATTAATCTCAATAATGTTCAAACAGGTACAACAAGGGTACGACTTGTTTATCTGAATCTATACAATCAAGTTTTTCTGTAAAGGTATGGAATCTCAATTTCAAAAATATACCAGTCGAGTAACAACATTGAATACTCAATATGATTATCAATCAGTTATGCATTATGCATCAACAGCATTCTCTCGAAATGGTTTAGCAACAATTGAACCACTACAAGCTAATGTTACAATTGGTCAGCGTGATAGTTTAAGTCTAACGGATATTCAAGCCGTTCGAATTCTTTATAATTGTACAACTCAAGGAGTTACACTACCACCACCAACAACACAAAACATAAGTAATTTATACTTTTCTAATGAACTCGTGAGACATGTCGATGGTATTTGTTTTAGCGAGCTCCTTTAGAATTAATTCAACATATTCATCACGATTGACAACATCGAGTGCACGTTTTAGTCGTTACAATGGTGTCAATGGAAGTTATTACTATGAAGCAATTCAAATTACTGTTCCCACCGCTGGTAATTACCGATTTCGAAGCGTTAGTGTTGTCGATACGTACGGCTATCTCTATTTGGGTACTTTCTTATCATCATCACCGGAGAGAAATTTACTTGTTCAAAATGATGATAGCGCTGGTAATAATCAATTTCAATTTACACTATCTCTTCAAACAAATACAACATATGTTTTGGTGATTACAACGTATAGCGCCAATGTTACCGGTGCCATAGACGTGGTTGTGTCTGGCCCGCAAGCAGTCAATTTTCTGCGCCTTGGCAGCTCGGAAACTGTATCAACAACAGCTTATTCGAACTATACTGGTGCATTGACCAATAGTAGTGCCCTATTTACTCGATATGATGGAGCGGGGAGATTTTATTACGAAGCATTGCTTATAACTGTGTCTACAAATGGTACATATAATTTTACAAGTAGCAGCTCAATTGATATGTATGGCTATTTATATGTGAATAATATCAGCGCATATGATCTCTCCGCGAATCTTCTCGCATTCAATGATGATAGTGCCGGAAATATGCAGTTTCTCATTACATCTTCTCTTGTAACCGGCAGAAGATACATTTTGATTTGTACGACTTACGGTCCGACTGTCACAGGAAGGTATTCTGCTATCGTCTCCGGTCTAGCTCAAGTTGGTCTTAAGTCAATCAGTCTAGCACTTGCACTACCTTCTACCAGCACAATGCTGCCAGTGACAAGTATGCTATTGAATTGTTTGTTGATTTCGACGACCGTATATTGTTCTTAGGTACAAGATCAACAACAAGCGTCTCTAGTATATCTATGACAAATTACAATAGCACATTGACTAACAATAGTTCGACATTCAGTCGTTACGGTCGGCATGATCGATTCTACTACGAAGCACTAGAAATCACTCCATTCACGAACGGAACATATACTTTTACTAGCACTAGTACCGTGGATGCTTTCGGATATCTGTACGTTAATAACATCAGTGCATGGGATCTGTCTGCAAATCTAGTTGCATTCAACGATGATGATGCAGGAAATATGCAGTTTCGTATCATATACAATCTTCAAAGTGGTCGGAAATACATTCTGATATTCACAACATACAGTAATGATGTAACTGGACCATTCTCAGTGATTGTATCCGGTCCAGCTCGAGTCACTATCAATCGCATCAATCTAGTACTTCCTGTATTATCGACGACTACTCCATCAACATATTCTTCATCGAGAACATCTGTACTTACAACAGGAAGTTCTGCTGGCTGTAATAGATCTGATGATCGACCAACTTGTCCAGGTAAGCTTTGGTAGAACTGACACTGTTTGTCGCAGTTAGATTAAAAATATCATATATTAAAGATGTATTTTCTTTTTTTAGCTCAAGTAGTGACGAATGGAAGAGGTAAGTCTACACCGTTTATCAATGCAGAAATTCGTTTTTTTCTTGTAATCATTATTTGTCTAGTTGTTACTGTCAACTCACAGAATCGAAATTTAACAGGGGATTCATTTTCGCCGAACAGTACGTTTTTCAATCTAAATGATTCAAGCCCAATGAACGGTTTTATCCAATCAGTTACCATTCAATATCGCGGATCACGCTTACCTAGTGTCATTGCTCGTCTATGGATCTATACAATCATTCCCATATCCGGCGGATTTATGATTTGCAGTCAATATTCCATTCCTTTATCTCAAATATCTACATCACAGTTAATTCAAACTTATACTCTTCCGAATAATACAATTTATGTAGCTGAAAAGACCTATATTGGTATCGGAATTCAAGACACAACAGCATCGATAGCAACGACATTTGGTAGTATAGCATTACGCACAAGTAGTGCAAATCTTTCATCGAATATTGGATCGCGCGAAGCACGATATTTCTGGCCTGATGACACCCAAACTGGGGTTAAACTCAGTTACACCATCGTTACATAATCAATTTCCTTTTGTACTTCAAAAGTGATCATTTTTACACTATTCAATCTGGAAATTTCCTACATATTCTTTTATCTAAACAAAGCATATCTTAATCAATGAACCAATATGTCACCGGATTCGATGTGAAAGCGTCGAGATTAAATGTTTATTCAAATAATATAAGAAAAAGGGCAAGCATGCCACAAATTTACACTGTTTGTATTTCCTTACTCAACTGGAGTTGCATAGGAAATTGTACGCTTTGTCGAAAGTCGATGCCTTTAAATCCTAATGAAGTTATCGCATTGAAAAGTTTAATAGTTGACTGAAGTAATCCGTTCGATGGACGATAAGTACCAGAATTGTTGTTTAATCGAAAATATGATTCTTCGTCTCGCCAGAATTCACCAGCAAAGCGAACATCTGTCGAACGGTTAGCTAACGAGATGTGTTTACAGAGTAAATGGTAGGAAATATGACGATGACGAGGAACACGTGCGAAGATTAGAGCATCGCCTATTATAACGAAATTATACCGAATTTTCGATGTGTTTTCTAACAGTAGATCTTCCAATAAGTTACTCAAGGATAATTTCGATGGTAAAGGTTCACTATCATTGCTAATTTGACATCGTGTAGCATAAACGATTGGTTTTGAATAAAAGAAATGGCGCTTACTCATATTCTTCCATGATTTCGCTGCAAAGGCTGGAAGTTTAGTTGGAAGATATTCATCGATAGTTGTTGCTGGCAGCTTCACTTCATAAATCGGATATTCATCAAAAAGTTTTTCAGTAAAATGTCCAAACGACGAGGGAACAGATTTATTGCCCAGCATTTGTCTATTTCCTCCCGATGTCAAGACGTCACCAGTGCAAAACTACCTTTCAATGAATGACGTTGTCGATCAATAACTTTTTCCGCCCATTTTTCTTTACATTCTGTCATACGTGTATAATTATCGCACGTGTACATCACAAAATTGCGAGAGAATACGAACGTTGTTTACATTCTCTTCCTGTCCGTGTCGCCCATTGATCATCAACGAAATGAATGCATGACATTGTCAGATTTATATATTGATGCTCGGAGATTTATTTAATTAGCGTCACTCGGCGATGTTAGTGTCAGATACATGATATATTTTTCTTTGATTTCATCGATCTTTTCGATGTCGAAAGATCGGCCAGGACGTAGGAGCACTTCGTCATTTGGATACGTAGATAGGCTCGCAATGATGTTTGATTTTGCGGTCTTAGGACAATCAAAGCATTGCCTAATTGTTCAGCTTTGTTTCTATTCAAACTACACGATGTAAATGATCGAAACGACCGTCGTCTATCTTTAATCTGAGCAATTGTTCCGTAATTCTCGACCATGACCGAACGTTTGGATTTTACTCCTCTAAAACTGTTCATGTTGGTTGTCACTAATCAAACGCATTGTTTGATTGAGAATTTTATAGAGAAATAATTCGGGAGTATAGAGATACACACAACAGTCATAGATTTCTCTCTTTGATTTTGTTTTTGCTTTATCTAATCGCTCGATAATCTATTTAGCTTGACACTGTTTGTCAATCAGTTAATTCAGTTTTTCGATTGTCCTACGCAACATTCGAGCAAATATGTTTTGTAATCCGACTGAATTGCGAGATGAAAGTGATAAGATGATTGGATTCGACATGGAACGGACTTCTTGCAATTGATCATTGTCTCGACTAACTGATAGTCATTTGATTGGTCATTGTTGGATATTTGAATTTGAGGGTGTGGGTGAAAATACGTGTATGTTATTGGTGGTTTTCACTCGAATAAATCACAATTTCAAGATAAAAGTTTTTCTTCATACGGTTTCTTCCTTTCTTTTCTACTCGTCACCTTCTTTAACATTTTATTTTGTTGATCATCATACCATTGACGAGATTACTTTTTCAAGATCATTTCATTCTTCTTCTTCCTACTGTCGTCAGAAGGAATTTGGAAATTGCCAAGAGTAGTTTCTTTTTCTCAGTACATGTGCAACAACTACACATTTTACTTTCCGTCCTCAGATTTTTGGCTGTTCTAAACTTGAAACAGTATATTGCGAGCTTGGTAAAGAAACATTCTTTTCATCAAAGCGCTCGTTTCTCCGAAGAATTGGGTATTTAATTCTATTCTTATCTTTCTTGTTATATTGAAAAACTATGTCAAGCGATAGTGATAGTGATTCTCAAGCAAAGCCTTCTCCACTTGCCAAAAAAGAGAACTTACTGGTTTATGTACCGGATCTCCCAATAGATTATCCTGGTGATGACCTGCAGGCCAAAGTTCATAGCACTATCGAGAACATTGGACGGATGAAACTAAAGAATGTAAAATGCTATTTGAACCTTGGCGTTGCAGTAGTTACACTGAATAACAAAGAAGATCAAGGATATCTCCTATCCAATGGTCAATCTATGATGTTCGACCGAGAACTTAATATAACTATTTCATTTGTTGATACATTAGATTTGGACACTTACATCGTTGTCGATCAAACTATATCGAAGATCCCTTCTCAAAATGATATATCTCGTCGGTATATGCAATTATACAAAACACCAGAGGCATATCCGTGTGAACCGATATCTACTCAATTTCCGAATATTTTTCGTATGCGCTTAAGCAATCTAGATGAGCTTGTAGCTGCAGCTGACGCGCCAGATTTCAGAATAGGGAAGAATCATCGTGCCCAAGTGTATCCACGTGCTGATTGTAGTTTTTTCGAAGATTTACCTTCGAATAGTAGTACTGATAAAATTGCTGATGCTGTTGCAATACAAATTGGTGAAACAAAACTTCCCTCGACTTCCTTTTACATACAGTATGATAAAGAAACAAGCAATGCAGTTGTTATAGCAACAAAAGCATCAAGAAAATGGAGAAGTCAAGGCTTTATCGTCGTCGATGGACGAAATCTCTCGAAAAAAGCCAAACTAGCTTACCGAGTTATTGTCTCCCCCGTGCCTGATGGCTTTGATGTCCATCGTATTCTGCAAAATTCACTCTTTGCAGATCAAGTGCATAATCATTCTCTTGTCGATAATCATCTTATCATCGAACTCAACGATGTGAACGCTTACAATCGTTGTATAGAAATCGGTGCAGTACGGATGGATAAGGATATCATGATGATTAAACCGCATAGAGTTGATAGTAATCCAAGTCAATGCGAGATTACTGCAGAAAATTGGTATGAAACAGCGATGTTAGATGCTGAACCTGATATCACAACCATTATGAATAATCTTCAACATCCGATTCTTCATTATAAATGGAATGCTCAAAATTGGATCGAACAGTTTAACAAAGCTGAAGAGAAAAGAAGTAAACAATCGAAATATGATCGGGTTTTACATTTATTACGTGTAACCGTTATGCTCAACACCATTGCGATTCTTCGAAAGCAGAAGTATGTTGTCGACGGTCGAGAAGTAACACTCAATTTACAACGTTTGAAAACAATTGGATATGATCATCGTTCGAAATTACTCGATGGAAAAACGATAATGCAGACAGAATTGAAGGTTCCATATGAATCAACAACAGTTCATGTTGTTATGGAGGATTGTCTCATAGTTTACGAGAAATTAGCCTCACAAGGACATAAACCATTGTTATTGAACATGGCGAATGCAACTAGTCCCGGCGGTGGTTATCGGAAAGGTGATGGGGCTCAAGAAGAAAATCTGTTTCGTCGATCGGATTATTATCAAAGTTTGGACTTCGAAATCGCCAATAAAGATCGATCAGAACCACTTTATTGTAACGAAAAAGGCGGTTTCAAAAAGCCGACCGGCTATCGCGGCTTCTATCCTATGGAGCTGTTTGGTGCCATTTATACATCTGGCATAACTGTCTTTCGACAGAGAGAAAAGGAAGAAGGCTACGCATACATGGCTAAACCTCTTACAAACGTTTGTTCTGTAGCTATGGCAGCTTTTCGAGACCCCACACTGAATAAAAACAACATGCTAGAAAGCAAATTCGCCGTCAATACGCATAAAAAGATCGAAAGTATTTTCGCCATCGGTTATCAACATGGACATGATTGTTTAGTTTTGTCCGCTTTCGGTTGTGGCGCGTTTAAGAATCCACCTGAACATATTGCTTTACTCTTCAAATCTGTCATAACTCAATACGCTGGTTATTTCCATACAATTTACTTTGCTATTATCGATGATCACAATGCTAAGAATAAAATCAATCCGGATGGAAATTTTGCGCCATTCCACAAGTGTTTAGATAATCAAGTTTTCCGTCCAGCAGCAATACTGCGTGTCAATGGAGTTTCCGGACCGTATCGCATTCTCAATAAATCGTCCGATGGACAATTAACACTTAGCGATGTACGTATTTTACACAAAACGCCGTGCCATCATGGATCGAGATGTCGTGATCTAAGAAACACTCAGCATTGTAATGAATACTCACATCCACCTATATGTTCTCATCAGAGCATTGAGTCACCATGTCAACAAATGGACGATGAAGTACATCGATTTACATTTGAACATAACAGCAAATGTAAATTTGGTGGCGAATGTAAAGATACTGATCCGAAACACTTCAGCGAATATGATCATCCAGATTTCTGTAAAGACGGTAACCATTGTGTCCGTATGAACAAAGAGCATCTATTTTCTTATCGTCATTTGCCGATCTGCCGTAATGGAATGAAATGCGTGGAGTATTTAAAAAGAAATGCAGATCATTGTACTAAGTACCGTCATTGTAGAACGATCTGCCCTCACGATAATTGCTGTGTACAATTTCATGATAAAGATCATACCGATAATACAATTCATTCGTTTCGACCTCCTTGTCCATTTACACCATACAGTTGTCAAAAGTATATTAAATATATAATGCGCAAGGAAGGAGAAAAACTGCCGCAAGATGTCGAAAACCATTGTCTTACTTCCTCGCATTTATGTGCGTTCGGTCGACTATGTAAGAAAAAGGACGACACACATTTCCTAACATCGATTCATATTGCTCGTCAGCTTTGTCCCGATGCAGATGCATGCCAAAGAATTACTGATGAACAACATTTGGAGTCATATTCTCATCCACACATGCGAGATTTTCGTCTGTTTTGTAAATTTCCAGGTTTCAAGTGCCGCAATCGGTTTGAAATTGAACATCTACGAAAATTTCGACATGGCGATAATCACAATCATTTAACCGTTGCACCATCAAGTAATTTGAATTCTTCGATTAATTTCACCCTCAACCAAGGAGATATCATTCGAAAACTGAATTCATACATGGATGCATCAGGATGGAAAAAAGCGCCCATTTCTCGAGAAGTACGCAATTGGATACAAGCATTACAACCTACACACCGTTGTAGCCCACTTATTTTCGAGTCGATTCTTGTGCTTGGCCATGTTATGAGTCGTCGGTACATGGAGCTGCTAAAAAAGCCCAAAAATGTCGCCAAAGCTGTACTACAACATGGTCGTATACGTCGGATTTTTCTCGAACATAGCAATCCGGAAGTAAAACAGAATGTGTATGAATTCATTAAGCTTATAGTTGTAGCAGAATTCGCCAAAACAGGAGCCGATGAAGTACCTCCGTTGGACGCAGATCACGATGTTCATGTTCACAATATTGAAAGAAAATTGAAGCCGCCACTTGATGATACGAGTATTAAGGTTATACACGAACGGGCTGTTGAAATAGCGCAAGCATCAATTAAATTAACTTCGAAACCAATGGGCATCGGATACGAAGTTGATACGAAACTCGGAACAGATCAGCATGTTTTTAGTATATTGGGGCCGCACCAAGGTTGTTATTACGGTGATATCGTTATTACATTCAAACAAGAGATCATGTTACATCCAGATGCGAATTTTTCCATTCATGCTGGAACAGGTTTCCATAGTGGCAAAGCTTATTTACATCGTCCGTGGTGGAAAGATCCGAATGACGAAAATCAACGTATCAACTGTTTTCATAGTGCTAAATTACATTGCTCTGTTCCACGCTATGAATCCGCAGCTGCCATTGAACTCATTGCTGTCAGTAGTAAATCCCAGAAATCAATGGATACCAGCCTTGACACGATCATCAAACAATGGACAGCTGTTGACTCACATTTCGTTTTCGAAGGACATCTACCTCAATTGATCCCTTTAGATTACATTGATAATGTTTATATCCCAAAAAATTTGTTTGAAGAATTAAGTCCTCAAGCTCAACATTCTGCTCGAGCAGTGTTTAAAGAATCGTTGATTTTAACTGACCATAAAATTGACCTTAAATTGATTCAACCAGGTAAGCTTGTTCCATTAGATCCGACTCGTGAGCCTTATCTGGAATTTATACTTGAACAAAACATTGAGAAAATCAAACAACGAATGGCAGCACCGCAAATTTCTCGTGGGATCATCATAACTGTTCCCGGAACGAGATTTGACGAGCAGATCGTCATGCCAATCACCGTATCTCAATCATACCGATTATACTGTCTCGATAACTCTCAAGCACCCAATCATCCAGAATACACTTACGTGTATTGGCAAGTCATGAATGGTGACATGATGTTAACAGTATCCAATAGAATTATCCAATCGACTGACAAAGATCAAAGTAAACTACGATGTCTTATTTGTTACGTTGCTGAAAAACCATCCCAAGCAACAGAAGACTATCATGAAACTTACTCGTATTTGAACGATGGTGATCCTGCGCAACATTATAATAATATATACAAGGCTCAGTTCAAAGCGAGATCAAATGTCTTCTATCGTGGGTGCAATACCGATGATTATGTGACTTGTTGCTTAAAAATTACTCATCAAACAAATGAAGCCACATTGTCACATGCTGGTCCAAACGGTATTTACAATTCTGAAAAACTCCATTACCAATTCGATAAATCAACATTGGACTTATCCATATTAGATTACATTCATGTTAGTGCGGGCTCTCAAGATGTTGCCATACGTAATTTAATCATTCGTCACGAACAACTGTCTGAACTGCATCCAACATCCGATAAAGATTTTACAATCGATACTTCTGGCCTATTGAACCAACGACGTGCATCCTTTGATTATGCAGCGAATGTTGGCTATTCCGGTAGTGTGCAAAAGAAAAGACCAGAGGAATCTAGACCGAACAAGGTTTCATCGCACGCACTTATCCCTATACAACAACCAAAAGTAGAGCCAACAAGTATCTTTCAACGCATTAAAACCGTACTATGTTGTTCGTCAACAAATATTATTCTGCCACAACCAAATCCACCACTTCCAGCAAGAAGAACGGTTCCATCCTCGACAGCTTCTTCAAAACTACCGCCTTGTCGTGATTCGATTTATTGTTTACTGTTGGAAAACAAAGATCATACTGCTAAATATTCTCATCGATGCCGTTTCAATGAATTATGTCGAAATAAGGATAAAGAACCTCATCTCGTCCATGAACCACACCGAGTACCGCAATGTTCAGATGATCAAAACTGTTCTAATCGAACGAATCCTTTGCATCGTGCTCAATTTCGACACACAGGTTTACCCGATTTTCTTATACCATGCCGTAATCAAGAAAGCTGTTATGGAAAAACTGCCGAGCATCTCATAAAATACTTCCATGGCGAAGCAATTCCTCCATTCCAAAGTAAAATCAGATATTCCACAAAAAATCTCATCTCAAGTTTATTTTTTCAGAACACGAAGTAGCAGCAGTACGTCATTTAATTCCATGCAGATATGGAGACAAATGTCGATCAGTAAAAGATCCTCAGCACACAGCTAAATATTCGCATCCAACGTGAACCATTCCACAATGAACTCTTTCAAATCTACACGCAATCCTTGCTGGCTAAATACATTATTTTTCTATCTCCATTTTTTTATACCGCTTTCGAAAAGATAAAAAGGATCTATTGTCATATACGAGTTAGATTAATGATGGTCGTGGAAGCAGCTCTTTGCCTGCTGAATCATGAGGAATATCTCGTTCAAGTGGTGGTAATAATCTCCACGGATGATAAATCGACCAGGAACAAAGGGCAACAGCAAGTGGAACCAAATGTCCGACATAGAACCATAATTCCTTTTGAGAAAGAACGTTGAACAGAAACGGTATCGAAGTCAAGAGAATATAAACTGCTTCGATCAACACACAAGCACTTGAAATCGCCAATAGAGGTAGAACATAAAGACGACGAACATGTGGAACAGCTAAATACCAAACTAAGTAGAAAAATAGAGCGAGACTAAGGACGCAGATAGCTGATGCTTGACGAAGATAAAAGCTAAGATAAAGATGATTCGGCTTAAGTGAAAGTTCATTTGCGATGGTAAGAAGTATATCAGCTGAAAGTGCAAAAACTAAAACGACAGCATCAATAATTCGATCGAGGGGTCGATGTGGTTTTTGCCCACGTAATTCCACTAAACAATGGTAGTTAGCGAGTAATATAAATCGAGCAGGCACACTAATCAACGGTGCTCTTATCTTGTAAAGTGTTGTTGTATGTAAAACATCATTATGAACAGTTGCACGTAGGACAAGTTCAATAAAAAGAGTTAAATGCGCGACAAATACGAATATCGATAGGAGACGTGGTTGACATTTTCCATGTAATGATTGAACGAACCAAGCGACCAGTGATAAATATACAAAAATCGCAAAACTTGTTGCACCGAAACCTGAAGGAGTGTACGAATCGAACGGGTAAGTAAAATTCATCCCGTCAACGAATGTTTTCACGAACGAATAAGCCGTGAAAAAAAGTATTGAGTATAAGTAATAACTGAAAACGAACGTTTTTTTTTTGTCACATACTTTAAGTATACGCAAAGAAAGGACAAATGTACTGCACGCTTTTAGTACGTACGAAAAGAGAACGATGAACCATCCAATTAAATAATTACATGCGTAACGTGTGTACTTCTTAATGTACTTGATGAATGCGTATCGGCAAGCTTTTTCTTTTCTTTTCTCACGAAGAGAAAAAGTTCGTTGTCAATAAAAAGACGGTGGTGGTGGCGCGAGCAGCTCGTTGCCACTTGCATCGCGGGGAACGTTCGCTTCGGATGGCGGTAGGAACTTCCATGGATGAAATATTGACCATGTGACAAGTGCAACAAACATAGGAATAACATGGCACACATAATAATAAAACTCATCCTGTGTCAGAAATAAAAAAACGTGCGGTATTGATATGAGAAAACTATAACCTATCTCAATCGACACGCAAATACTCGATACAGTTACTAAAGGTAAAACATACAAACGACGAACATGTGACACTGCAAGGTACCAAAATACATAGAAGAGCAAGGCAAGAAAGAAACTAAATCCATTTGATGCTTGGCGAAAATAAATACTTAACTTCTGGTGCTTTTCAGCAAATGAAAAATCGTCAGCAAGGCATAGTAGACTGTCCATATTCAGCACGTTTAATGGAATGACAACATCCATAAGTCGATCGAGCATTTCACGTGGTTTCTTTCCTCGTAGATCAACTAGACAACGATAATTTGCTAAGAGCAACAATCGAGGAGATAAACTACACAATGCTGATGTTATTTCACGGTATATTTTCGTGTTCATTGTGTCGATGTCTACTGTCGCGCGTAGAACAAGTTCGACAAAAGTTATCAAATGCGATAAAAATATGAACAGACTGAGAATATACGGTCGATATTTGAAGTGTAATGTTTGAATAAACCATGCGATTAATGAGATGTAAAGAATCGTTGCGAATATACTCGCTGCATAACGGGATGGGATGTATAAAGAAGTTATTTGAGTAGAGTTAAAAGACATTATGTTGAAAGGATAACAGTAAAACCGTCGTATGTTTAGTGGTTCACTTCTTTTAATTAAAAATTTCCTTTTTCTTCTCGAAAGAATAAGAAAAGAGAATAAAGAGAAGTATCTGTAAATAAACACCCTCATTGGAAAGCGTTCAGATCGAGGCCGAACGTTGATTCAATCTTTCGTCGAAGTCACTTAGACAGCGATCATCCGTCAACAACGGTGACACTCTCCACGGATGATACATCGACCAAGTACAAAGCGCGACAACGAGTGGAAATGAATGACCTAGATAGAAGTACAGTTCATTCTGTACGAGAATATCGAGCAGAAACGGTTTGAGTGTCATTTGCACATAGATTGCTTCGATTAACACACACATGCTTGAAACTGGTAATAAGGGTACGGTGTAAAAACGCGAGAGATGTGAAGATTGCCAATACCAAAGTAAAAAGAAGAGAAGAGAAAGAAAAAAAACCAGGACAGCTGATGCTTGACGAAGATAATCTGATTGCGAGGAAAGTTCATTGATTACATGAAGAAAGATATCGGTGAATAGAATAATGGTTAAGACAATGAATTGCGCAAATGCTACATGTGACTTGCGCAATTCAGCTAAGTAACTATAGTTACTCAACAGCAAAAAACGAGGCGGGAGAATCGAGAGAAGCTTCGTAATTTGAGGATATATCTGAATATACTCGTTCGTCAACGTCGCACGTAAGATCAATTCGATAAAAGTGATCAAGTGCGATAATAAAATAAACATAACGAAATACCTCGGATGACACTTCGAGTATAATGCATGGATAAACCAGGCGATTAAAGATATGTAAACAATAATAGCCACGATTCCTGCGGCATATCGTGATGAAATGTAACTCGGAAACGAATCATCGATTTCGGTGACATTGGTCAGTTCCTTTGGCGTCGATTGAAAGAGTAAACGATGCATGAGATGCTCCACCATTATTGCATGGCATAAAAAAAATGAAATGAACCTAAGCTGATTCTGCTTGGAGACTTATATGCCTTGTCGTATAAGAAGAATAATCCGACTGACAAGTTGACATGCGAGAAAAAAAGTTTCCTAATTAAAGTCTTGTTAGTGCGATTTATTAATAAGATAGAATAACTCGAGACGGTCAAAGAAATGCAACGGAACATCAGAAATTTCTAGAACATAATTCTCCAATTTGACGTTTATCAGACGAATGATGTATCAATGCATAAAATACATTTCGAATGATACACATAGATTTGGAATCCATTTGACGATAGTTTTCATTTGTACACGAAAGTTCTTAAAATGTATCTCTGAGCAATTCAGCTCCATCATAATTCAATTTCTCAAAACAACATAAGTAATCCGATTTTAATTAAAATTGAAGGAGACAACGCCAGAAATAGACCTATTTTCGAGATTTTTAGGTTAATTCAAAGTAATCAGAAAATAATCTTTCACATTGACAGTAGCGGGTGTGACGTCGATGGCTTTCGTGTATCTTTCGACGATTGATCAATATTTCATTACATTAACAAATCAAAGCAACTTACAAAATGATGATCTTAATCGTCAATTTGGCGTAACCTCGAGCAATACTTTTTTATTTACGTTTTAACATCTCACCAACTACTCTCATATGTGTGTTTGTAGAAATCCGATATATTCTTCTTATGTTTGAATATTTTTACAGGTTTTTCTCTGTGCGATTCCGTTGACGATTATGTACATATTCGACATTCTTGCTTATCTGAATCTGTATCAAACAATGATCGGATATTTTTCATAAAACAAGTTAAAATATGCATTAGTTATCCAACGCTGATTGAATAAAATTTATAAATCAAAAAGAGTTGCTTAGTTCATTAGTAATAAATAACAGCATATGTTCTTGTTCATCGAAAATCTGAACATATTTCGGAATATTCGATGGTAGTTTTTGTTTGAGTTGCGCTCGATCTTGTGTGTCAACAACAAGGGAAACCTTGAAGTTGACTGTGCAGAAGAGTCTCATGACATCCATGATATTTTTCGGTTCTTTAGAAAACTGACCGGAACAAATAACCAAAACTCTTTGTCGTTGTTTGATTTCTTCGATATTTTGATTTAGATACGTTCTTGTTTCGTTAAAAGTTTCCGTAAACTGGATTTCTAGCTGGGGATACATAAGAAGTAACTGTTCTACTGTTGTTGGGTGATGATCGTCCGTGCCGATCCATAGGAAAAGTATATTTCCTTTCGATTGCTTCGAATAGGATATTGGATTATTCTTTCTAAATACAACAGGAGAGTTCATCGATGTCGAATGAAGTTCTACATGGGAAGCACGACAACCGGCATTCCATTGCGCTTCTTGATTAATCCCAACGAATTCATAGAGATCAAAAAGTGTATCCGTTGCAGTAACATTCGGAAATTCCAATGCTGACTGAATTTCATCACGCTTATTCGTAAAAACCAGTATTGGAGTATGTGCTTCTTGAGTTCGAATGGTTGTTATGAAATCTATCGCTATCAACTGATTCATTTCGGACCAGATAATAACGACTTTGAAAAGATTGCCTCGTTCGTGCAGTGATTCTCGATTTTTGACCAACCATTTCTTTGCAGCATCGATCGTGCGAACAACTCGAATATCAGTCGAAGTTACTTTCGGTAAATTTTTTATGATATCATCGTTGGATTCGCTTACAATCCATAACGAAACAAATCGTTGACGAAACAAAACACTCGGCTTAGGAGCCAACGATTTATGGTTCATGCGTGGCACAGCGAGAAAGTTTTGTTGTTCGAATGGGTATGTCCCTTCGACAAGAACATCGGCTCCACTCATTTCTCTGGTTGGCCATGGATTAGCTAAGGAAAGTTGAGCGATCGCATTTGGATTTATTCGATTCGGTGCATATCCTAATTCTTCATCGGTAATCGGCCGATTCGTATGAGGCCAATCCGGTCTTTCTGTCAGACGTTGCCGCATATCTTGTAATTTTTCGATTAACCGTTTTCTATATCGAATATGACAATGGTTCATCGCAACGTACGAATAGGACTCGACCACACTTTGATCAATTGGATCGATAAGAACACGCAAAGATCGTCCTTGTTGTTCTCGTGCACGAAGACGAGCCATGAAGCCTTCGTAATCAAGAAAATCAAGAAAACGCAACGGTCGACGGATATCAACCGTTTCATTCGGACAGCATCGAAGAATATTTCGTGCAAGTGCCATAGCTGCTTTCATGCCGCTGTTCATACCGCGACCAGGCCAGAAATGAACATTCAGAGCTGCGTCACCTGCTAAACAGGCTAAGACTGTTTTATACTTTTTCGTTTCTTCGTGAACGTCTTCTTTGAGCTCGAAGCGAAGTTCTCGAACGACAATCGCTGCATGTCGAACGTTAATTTCGATGGGTGCAACGCGAACAACATATTTCGAATGGATTTTGAAGAATTCCAAGCCTTGACGAATAATACTCCAAACAATCGAACTGTTTGGACATTGGTTGACATCCGATAAGTCTATCAATTTATTTTCATTTTGAAATTCCTGTAAATATTCACGTAATTCATCGTATTCACTCTTGATCAAACGAATATTCAAATAACCACGACGACTTGACGATGAATTAACGAGATAGCGTGTTTGAGCTACAGTTAGAATACAATTCAATGCTTGGTGTAATGGTTCTTCGGAGGAGGGTACGTTCGTTGGAATATTATATGCAACACCACAGGCATATTCGACTCCTTCACTCACCATCGGTATGTTACAATAACGACGTACAAATGAATTCGAACCATCGGTACCGATGAGAAGATCGAAATCACCTTTTACAAGACGTTCGGTTTGTTCATGTAATGATTCAGGAATCAATTCTACCTGACCAGCTTGTACAAATGGTTGAATCAAATCGAATAATCGATCTTCAACTTCTCGTATCGGGATGTTTCTTGACGTTGGCCAGACTCTTTCATCAATATTCTGAAAAAGACCTTTTTGAACATAAACAGGCATTTGTTCGATAACATGATCTTGTAGTGTGACAACTTGATCGCGACGCATTTTGCCCTGTTCTTCGCCTTGCCATCGAATTATACTATTTTCGTCAACAAACCAACGTCCTTCATATATGATAATTTTTACTCGTTTACCCATCATCATAACAAGGTTCAACGAGAATGTTAAACCAACTGGCCCACCGCCGGAGACAATCACTGTCAATGGAGACGTATCAGATTCCGTCATGTGAGTATCTACAGTCATCTCAATAACGTCGACGTTTTTAATAAATCATGTGAAATAAGCACATTCGCCTTATATTTATATGCTATATGGGAAGAGATGATTAAAAGGGAAAGTAAAAAAACGTTTCGGTGACAATATGATCAACAGATTCATATCATGATTCTGCATGCCTTTCTATTCGGATTACACGCACTTCTGTGTGTCTTTAAAATATCAATCCGATCGATATGTCAATAATGATTTACATAGGTAGTGATGTCATACGCACATTATCGATTATTCTTCTATCGTGTTATACTACAAGTAATCCAACGGTATTGTTATTGACTGTCTGGTAAAAGGATTAGATTATTCGTTTATGATAGTTCTTCACATACTTAGTATGTTGTCTATAAATACCATAAACAGGAGAAAGTCAAGCGCATGCGTAATTTTACAGTTCTCGCAGAATGTATAAGAAAACAAAGTAGAGCAATGCTTTACGTTTATCAACCTGAATTACTTTCGATCAAATTTTATTGCTGGAAGAGTATCCCTTGTTATTTATAAACAGCATTCACGCCTATCGCTCCTGATCAAACTTTAATTTAAAAAAACAAACGAACGAGCATATTAACACATTTTATATGCACTCTCCTCTTAACGAAAGACAGAAAGAAATATGCTGCCACAAACATTTTTAATCTCAATAGTTTTTATACTTTCGCTCTTTCTGGCACGATAATTACCGTGTCAATCATTCTACGACTTAATAACATCTTGCGTTTACTCTACTCTGTCGATCGATGACGTTTGCCAAAAGAAACATAATTCTGTTTGCTTGATTTTTGTCAGTATTTCATCACGCAGATCTATTAGAATATAATCTGGATTCAAGCGGATTCAATCAATCGACTTTCAAATTACACGTGTAATTGATTACAATCTAATCCGACAATACCGATCGATTGATAATATATTCATATCAAAGGTTAGTCGCGTGAGCGTGGCTGATTTGAACCTGCTACTAGTGTATGAACTTTTATCTCTGTTAGGTATGTTCAATTTCAAAATGAAGAGACGAACACCCTCACCCACCCCTATATTCATCGATCCTTCATGAACAAGAACTGGATAAATCATACAAGTAATATAATCATTTTATTATCTAATTACTTTGTTCTTTCGCCTTTATGTAGGCGCACACAATTAATGAAGCTTTTCTAAATATTCAGAACTAGTTTAGAAATCAACCACTTTTTTAGCAAAGAAATTTCATCAGAATGACAGAAACACTTAGTAACGCATATCGAGGCCCAGTAATCAAGTTCGTTGCTGTAGAATTCGTGTCCAAAATCCCACCCCACTTTGTCGCAATGGCTAATCTGATTCCCACACCGTACTCGAAAGAGTTACATTTGTTGGTATTACATACATAACGAACTTCGTCCAACATTGGAGACGCTGGAATGGTTGGATCTGTTCGAAAAATTTGATAATAAACATTGACAGGGACTTTTGCCGGTTCACACGCATAGTTCGTCGTTGAATTGTCACCACCCACCCAAGAGTATGTGCAAATGCCACTTTGACAATCTTCAAAGGTGTCCCGATCACGATAACACTGATGAACAGTTGGTAAATTGCTGTCATTATAGAGTAATGACGACATCAGATTCTGCAAAGTCTCGAGTTGCTCTGTCAGCCCGATATAGTGCGAAATATGTTTCTGAAAATACTTGGTAGCACAATCATTGTCTGTCGCACATTCATAAGACCATAGTGCTTTTCTTTCGACATTCGGTTCAAAAGAGAATCGAGCATCTACTAGAAGACCAGTCTCAAACACGATATCTGTTGCATTATCCGCAGCAAATGAGATGGAGCCTGTCTTTCTCACGTAATCCATTTCAAATGACACTCCACATCGTCCGGCGTTCGAATAAGTTCGGCAACTCGCTGGTATTATCACTGAGTCGTTAAAGGAGAAATCAGCATCGCAGTTAACGAGACATCGTATCATCTCGACGCTCTTAGTCTGATGGTATTTTGTATCGATCATTGATGTACGTCGTAGAGCATTCTTAGTATCAATAATGCTCGTAGCGAAGGCAAGTGTGAGTAGTGCAAACGAAATTCTTCCTCGGTGCAACATATTAAGATGCAGGTGTGTCGTTCGGAAGAATATAACAAATAAATGTTATCGAGTTTATTTATATGTAAGGAATAATGTCTCTGAGTAAGTTTTATTTACTTCTTACTTATCGTTAGTCATTCAAGTTTACCTAAGTTATCTATCGAACGTGTATAATAAATATTTACACTTAGAGTCACATGTTTTAGATGACGAGTTTTATCAAGAAGACGACGAAGAGCAGAAGACTAAGTAGATGCAAAGGCGCAGAATTAGTATCTAAGAGTTCACATCAATTATTCTGAATGGTTTGCTGAATAACCACCGCGTTCTCACTGTAATACATATAATAATTCAATAGAGACATCTTGTCCAATCGTTGAAGAAAAACTCAACAGTACAGTCAGTGAGACAGTTTACCATTCATTTTTCCTCCTTCTTACTTCTCAATTGACAGTATGGACTTCTTTCCATTAAAGCAGCAGTCGTTGGCAAAAACGCAATTCAAATTTTCAGCGACATCCTTTCACGTAAAGGTATTCCGAAATAAGAAAGGTAATCTTGCATATAGATAAGACAATTTTGAACTGTTCTCTGTCCTTATCACTTACCGATGTGTACGAAGTACATTCAACCTGAAAATGTATCTGAACAAACATCTCCGCGATCAAATAAGTTTCCTATTCTCGTCATGTTTACATATTTCTATGTTACAGTCGACTTCTATTTCAAGCCTTACATTTCATCTCCGTTATGTAGTCACATGCTTTTGCCGAGAAACAATCTAAATAATTAAAAAGAGAAAACTCATTTAGTTTTCCTTTCTCTCACAATTGTCATAAGTTGTTTTGCATCTGGTCTCGCGAATAACTCTCTCCCGAATGGAACACTATGAAACGATTCGTCGATATTTCATCGATCTGAATCTATTCGATTCGAAAACGAACGATGCTCATGTAAAACGGAATGAAATTCTCTCAACAAGAATCTACATTGTTCTTCTTCTCACTATCGTCGTTCTATTTACATTATACATGTGTTTAATTTCTCAAACAAATACGATAACAATCGCAAAACCAACACAGGAACAATTTGAACGACTGACAAATAAATACGAAAATAAATTACAATGTCTGTGCAAACAAATCTCGATTCCTTATCGACAATTTATGAATATCCAACCTGTATTCGATGAAATCTGTCTATCCGACTTTGTTAGTCAGAAGTGGATTGACTATTTGTTTTATGAAAACACAAGTTATTACTTCCAGTTGGATTTCCGTCATAGTGCAGCATCGAAATTTCAAATTCTCCGAGCTTTATGTGAACAAGCTCGATTGACAATCGGTGATAATCTGGAAAAATTCTATGTGAATCAATTTCTAAGTAATCAATTGATAACACAAACTATTTTTGATGCTCAGACAAGTTCATTTATTGATTCGTTTCAAATGACAACATTTTCCATATTTCAAACTTTGTTAAAATTCATTCGAAATCTTGTTATTTCAAATGCACTATTCTCCGGTGCTGAAATGCTATCTACACTCCAATTTGACAACAATAGTTATCCATATGTGGGAATGGAGAATAGTCGGTATTACCAAGAACGTGTGCAAGGCAAATTCTTCGGTTGTTATTGTGAAAATTTCACGATTTGTCAATTACAAGAAGGGATTTACACACAAATGAACATGTTCGATTACGCTGGATCTGATTGGAGTGGATATAAAGATATCAATGCAAGTACAAATATGATAAATGCTACTTTTCTCGTTCGTGGTATGTTTTCTAGTTGTAAACATATGGAATCGCTGATGCAATCGACAAGCGAATGTTTATCGGATCAATTGTGTTTAAATCAAATTGGATCTTATATAAATCATTCTTCGGTATCGATCAGTTCCTTTCCGAAATTGAACTCATCGAATCCAGCACGTTATTTGACCATCGAAACATTAGCGAATAATCTATTCGTTGGAAATTGGATTCTGAATAAATCTTATTCGGCATATTTTGCTTCTTGTCAACCCTCGACTTGTCAATATACTGATGCGCAGAAATATAGTTTCATTTACATTTTAACATCCGTCATCACTCTTTATGGTGGTGTTCGAGGATTACTCGCATATTTCATTCCAATCATCATTACTCATCTTCGTAAGAAGAAGATCCAATCGCCACCGAGTACTGCTGTTCCTCCACATCCTCAAAGTACGATGACATGGGTGTCATCGGTCTTTCAACATATATCACAGTTGAACATATTCAATAGTTACTCATCGGATGAACACGAACAGAAAAACGAAATTATTTCATCGAAGATTTATCTAATTGCTTTAGGAGCCTGTTTACTCGGTTTCGCGATCGCACTATCTCAAGGCAATCAATCGAGGACAGTTTATATTTATAATCCTACACGTTTTCAATTTGAACAACTGAACAATCGATCCACCATCAATCTTCAATGTCCCTGCGCAAAAATAACGATCAAATATTCGAAATTTCTTCATTTCAATCCCACTTATCATCAAATCTGCAATAGCATCTTCGTTTCGAACCTATGGTACAATTCCTACGACATCTGGGATGTATCCATCCCTTGCGTCACCCCATCATTTTCTGACTTAGCATCGTTTTATTTTTCGTTTCTCTCTACACTGTGCCAATCAGCTCACGACATCATTTACAGCGGTTTAGCTCAAATCGATTCGATGAATTATGTCACATCAGAAGCCATACTTGAAAATCAATTCAATAACGAAATGGAAGCCTTTATCAAATTATTCGAACAACGATTACAAACATCGTTTCGTGGCCAATTAGCACTGATGCAAGGCGTGATTTTCACCAATCAAATCATTTCATCCAAAGCAACAAATGTTTATTACAACCATACAAAACTTATCAACAATACCATCACAGTCGATTCGTATTTAACTACACATGAAAATTGCACGTGTGGAACGAATCCGAAATGCTATACAGATCTCGCTGTTTGTTCATCGAATCGAATGAATTATATAAAAGGTATGTATGTCGGATGTTTCGTGGTGGATTCAGTGTTGATCTCGACGACGGAATGTTTCTTTGATGAAACATGTATAGAATTAATGAAATCTTCGATGAAAAATTCCTCAGAATTGTATCAACAAATGTATACCTTAAATAGCTCCGCGGTTAGTGAATATCAAATCAATGATTTGATTGGAACACTTGTTGGAAACCTATTTATTGAACAGTGGAATGAAGTTTACTCATACAATGCTTATTATAACGAATGTCAACCAATCTATTGTTCATATACCGTCCAGCAAACTTCCAGTGTCATCTATATTCTTACGAGATTGATCGGTTTGTATGGCGGTTTGACGTTTCTTCTTGGATATTTAGTACCGAACATTGTGACGGTAATTCGAAGGAAACGTCATCAACGCGCAGGTGTGTCTATTTGGAATCGATTTGGGATTTATTATCAAACGACTAAAACTAAACTGATTGAATTGAATTGGTTCGAAAGTAATACAAACGACGAAGAAAATCTTCGAAAAGAAATCATCACCACTCGAGTGTATCTCATCGTATTTACATTGGTTTTACTGACATTGGTTTTTTATTCTTCCCTAATCGACAAGACAATTAATGTCAAAGTTTCATTATCAAGTTTAAGTCAATATCAACAAGTTCAAATGAAATATCCGAATACATTCAATTGTCCGTGTAATGAAATTTCGGTTCCATACAAAGATTTTCTCGTAGTTAGTCCGATTTATCATGAAGTTTGTTCGTCGGATTTCATCCAACAATCGTGGATTGAATATCTGTACAATGAACAAACCATTACCGACCAAAACTATCGCGCAGTGGCGGCCGCACAGTTCCAAGTTCTCAGTTATTTGTGTATAATAGCAGATGGAACAATCCAGGAGAGTTTAGCTCAATTTTACTCCACAAAGTTCATTACCAATGACTTTATTCCATTTTCATTGTTTCAAATTCAAACTGATTCAATCGTTGACATTTTTCAAAAGACTCTCTCACAAACATTCAACCGACCGTTTGAGATGACTCAAGATCTTCTCCAAGGCAATTCTTTGATGTCGGTATTCCAAACCAATTGGAAATTCACCGTCTTGAAGACCAGTTCTTGGTCGCCGATCTACACAAATCCAATGTTTTATAACCAAATATGCAATTGCGGAACATCATCGAAGTGTACTCAGCCGGTTTTCATCAATAATACACTTGTCGATGGATTGTACATTGGTTGTTATCCAGTTGAAACAATGTTACAGTCATCACTTCAGTGCTTCTATAACCAAACGTGTTTACAGATGATTTTATCGTATTTTGGAGAATTACCGAAGAATATGACGCTTCGAGTGCTTTCAGTGAGTAGCCAATATGGGATTGACGAGACAATTCAAGAAATGGTCGATCGGTTGTTCGTGAATCAATGGATTATAAATCAGTCGTATGAAAACTATTTTCTAAAGTGTCAACCGACGTACTGCACTTATTCATACACTGAATATTTCAATATTTTTTATACTATAACAACTATTCTTGGGTTATTCGATGGAGTGACTGTTCTTTTGAGGCTAATTGTACCGTTGGTGATTTATTTCATCTTTCGGATTTTTTATAAAACGAAGATTTCTAATTGTCCTCTAACACAATAAAGAGTTGATTTTTGTTATGTCAAGCGAACAACAGATGCTTCGATAGTCCACCCTTATAAGGAAACAGAGACATTACATGTAAGTTATTTCAACGAAATTTAGTTCAAGTTTTCATCTTTATTTTTATGAATTTTAACTCGTGTTCTTCATTAAATAAATGAATTATCAAAATAGAAGAAGAAAGTAATGTTCGTATTGTATGAAGTTCGTCATTTGTGGCATTTTAACCTGCATAAGACTGACAGTTAGTGCCAGAATATGGTTTCTGACAATAACAGAGATACGAATTACCAATGTTACGGCACACACCACCATTCTTGCATGTTGTTGGAGTGCAAGAACCCGCTAAAATTGTCGAAGAAAACTATTGAAATACAAAAGTTCAACAGTACTCACAAGGTGTTTTTGTTGTTGTTGAAATCAGTGATGTTTCACATCTCTCACCAATAAATGCTGGAGGACATTGACAGTAAGATGGTGAATCGGGTATTGTAACACAGGCTCCAGGCTTACAATAGTCAGCAGACATCATGCTACAGGTTGTCTTATTTCTTTCGCAACGGTCACCCTCAAGATGTGGTTGACAAAAGCATTTTGGTTGACCATTATTAGTAAAATAACATAAACCCCCGTGTAAACAGTATTGGTAACATGCTAGAATATTAAAACAGAGAACAAGATACAAATATGGATTTTTGTTTGTTTTTCAGTATCGATTAATTACGTGAACGGTGTTCGCATCGCTCTCCAGTATACTCAGACGGGCAATGACAACCAAATCCTTGTTCAGTAGCATAACAAATTCCTCCATTCTTACAATAATCAGGGTCAAGGAGACTACACAAACTGTTACGAACTTGTATTTGCTCAGCTTGTGCAAGTTCGACGAGATTGATGGTTTCGTTTTTTTCTGAATTTGGCATCGTATTCCTGTCCAATTTGGTAAACAGACACATTTGGGACCTTGATTTGTTTTAAGACAAACGCCACCCATCGAGCAATAGTTCGCACATGGATTTAACGCAGAACTTGATTGAACAACAATCATCGATAGAATGGCAATTACTAGCGTAACCATTCTATATTGCATTTGCTTTTATTTTCCTGTAAATTATTCGAGAACAAGTATATATACATCGGCAAATTTACTTTTCTATTGTAATTTAATCTCGGGATGACCCCAAAATATATTTTTTGTCAACTAAAAATCTCGGCGAGTTCCTGATTTTCTGGGGACTCAAGATTTATCTGCATTGTTAAAATTTCTGTGATCAGCAATAAGTATAATAAATATTTGGAATTGATCTCTTTCACTTCTCTATAATGATCACTTCCGTCATATCTCTAGTTACGAAGGATGAGAGTGAAGGATTCTGCTTGCTTCATATTTTCATTGCATTTACGATTCATCTCCTGGCTGAAAATTCAGTCATTTCCTATAGCAATTATCGACGTTGATTGATCACAGATGTATGTTCATTCAAGATGATGGGCAACTTAATTTCGGATCATGTCTAGTATCGTTGAATTTTTTGTCAATATTTATAAATATCGGAAATATTATAATATATTTTCTCCAAAATCATTGCCAGAAAGCCTTTTTTTCTACCGGCAAAGTTGAATTCATTTTTGATTTATCTCATAATCTACCAGTTCTATTGATTAATTCAGTTTTAACGTTTTAGTTTTGCTCGATTGGTTATAATCAATCATAGGAATAGTTCGATGTGAAAAGATGTAATATTGCTCAGGAAAATGGATTGTTATAAAAATACTTGTATATTCTGAAATGTCTATTTTTATTCTAATAAAACAAAGATTTGTGTCATTTCCTTTCTTATCACAGCCACGTCATTAACTTCTGTCGAGAATGAATGACTCATCAATCTACTTTCATTTTGGTGGTGTAATACATTCAACAGAAAAGAATGACTCAAGACTGATTCATTTCAGGCTTTTTTCGAATATATAATACGATTGAGTTAATATTATTCTTGATTAATAAAGAAAAGTCGTTAATTATGGCAAGAGTATTCATTCGATCAGCGGAACAAAACTGGAATATTGGTGGTAGTAGTGAAGAAGAATGGAATGGGTGGCGACATGTGGAATCTGAAGATAATTTCTGGGGATGTGGTAATAACATTGGAATGACTCTACAGAAAGGTAAGTGTGTGTACACTCCCGACTTTTTACTAAAGATTTGTTGTTGTAGGTGATATGAAATGTACGTATCGTGCATCATATTATCATCCCAGTTTTTCCTTAGTGAAATTGAATGGTCAATCAGCGAGTGGCTCATTCGATTATGATCGAAGCAAACCGAAAGCGGAAGTGTATGGTGCATTTGTTGAATTTATTGAGAAGAAAATTGCTGAACAAAATGCACAAAACTAGACATGCAGTTTGTCTGAGATTGATGGACTTGGAGGAATTGTCTCTAATTCTTTTCTTTATTTGTTTAAAATAAAAACGAAAACAGAGAGTAATTATTCTGTTTGATCGTGAGAACATCACTTTTTAGTTCTGTCTGTAACGATAATTCATGTATTGATCGAAATTATGATCTTTTCCGAAGACCTTCGTAAACTGTTTGGTAAGAAATTTCCGAACTTCTTCGATACCGGCCAAATTATCGTCTTTAAATTTGTTTACATAATTTTTATTGCCCACAGCTTCTTTGTTGAAGCATGGACAAATCAAATCACGATCGATTTTCAAACGATCATTGGCCAATTCTGTTAGTTCAGACTCTATTGGGCGTGTGATGCTTTCACTGTGTGTGACGATGACAACGAATGGTACTGATGTATTGCGAGATCGTACATGATTATCATCTTAACATGAAGAAAAAATAACTTTTTTGTTAATAAAAAGTTAGTTGAAAGTTACCTGATTGTGGATCACCAGTAGGATTTGTGTTTGTGATTTGATTAATTAGATTCGTAGCTGAATCATAATCCGAACTTGCTTGTGCCACAATTACATAAAAGGAACTACATATTGCATATTGGTCAGTGAACTGACGTATTTCCCTTTCAGGATCAGTTATACCAGGAAAATCGATTATATGTACTTTCTTATTATTTTCAGAATCTTCTAGTGTGTACAGACGTACTTGTTTAGTTCGCTTCTGTATTGTATCGCCAACTTGTGCAGGTATTTGCCAAAGTGATTTCAGAAGACTCGATTTACCAGCACGATGTGCGCCAACGAATGAGATATAGATATGTTGAGTCATCCACTTCCGTAATTCATGGATATAATAGACATCGTGCAATAATCTGAATGCTTGATATTTTGATTCGTCAGTCGTGCGAGTCAAAGTTGGACGATCATCATTCGTGTTTGGTACAAATATCTCCTTACTTTTGATTGTGTCTAAACTGTTTATTATATCAGCGATATCAATAGTGTTAAAACTAATTGACTTGGTATTAAGTATTTTGCATATTTCAGATTCCGTCATTTCCTCGTTTGCACAGTTACTTGAATTGCCACCCATACTTTCGAATAACAAATTGATGTGACTTTGATACAACAATCGTTCGATTGTACCATGAGTAAGGCTGATTAGACCGAAGGAACTGAATTCACATGTGAGTATTCCAATACCCGATACTATATCTGCACCTGCATAATATGCAACAAGCTCAGCGCTCATGCTGACTGCCTTGCCACACGTTAGTGCAATAGGAGCTGCTTGACAGCAAGCAGCAAGTCCTATAACGATTCCTGCACCGCATGTAAAAGCTAGTAGTGGATTATCCGACACTATTTCCTTGAATGACTTTTGAAAGTCATAACTGGGTAATTCAGATAAATCTTCATGCAAAGCTTGCAAGACGGGTAGCGATTCATTGTACAATGTTTGATCAATGACAAGCGATTCGTTATTGCTCTTTTGGCGAGCGAATTCGTTTAAATGTTTTTGAAGCGTTTCTATAAATTGATCAAATTTGTCCGGTGATCTATTTTGAACTAATCTGATAAAGAATTGCAAAATTGTTGGGTGACCTTCCAGAATATCTCGAATTCCCAAGTGTTCTTCTGAGTGAATATATGCAAATATCGATCGAAGGAAAGCAGCTATAAGAAAATTCATATCCAGTTTGGAGAACATTCCTCGTTGAACAGAATACGATGCCATATGTTGATCCCATTGAAAATGAAATGAAATTTTGCCAAAATGTGTGTGTAAAAAGAATTGTTTTGGGCCGACTCTAATCTGTTGTTCACTTGGAATAAGTCCATTGCAGGTCACAATAGCTCGATGTTGAGTTTGTTCTGGAATCAGAGTATATGAGTCTTTGTGAAATAGTTCAGGTATTGATTCTAAGCAGTTGGGCTTGTCAGATGATATGAAATCTAAATTGTCACCTTGCATTGTAATCTTTAAATCATTGTTACAACAAACGGCTACTGTCGACTGTACTGTCACATTGAATTGTTTCAATTCGATCACTTCTTGTGTCCCACGACTGTCTACTTTGATCACTTGACAAGATTTTAAGCTTTCAATATATTTTATCATAAAATGATTGACAAGACTTTCGTCGGTGTATTTTTGAGAGCGTGCGCTATACAGCCCATTGAGTTTCTTTGATATACAGTCGTTAAATATTTGCGTACCAGTTACAGTTTTCAGTTGGTTATTCAAATAGTTAATTACCCATTCCCATCTTCCGCTGCCGCTTTCCGAAGCATATGTTTGTATAAATCCATAGGTGCCAATTGGTTTGTACTCCAGATTCATATTTTGTAGGAAATCTTTCAAGTTCGGGATTATTGTATTCAGATGCTTCACCATTCCTGCTGCTATTTCCTTAGTTATCATCCCTAGCGCACCATTTAATGGAAGAAGTGTTTGAATTATGTCTTTACACAATGCAAGGCTAGGTTGTGCAGTTGCTTGCAATGCGGAAGCAGTTTCAATTAAGTTCAATATGTTTGGTACACAATCACTGCAATTGACTATTGTCAAAAAATGTTCATTTAAGTTTCGATGGATTAAATCTGCTGCAACAGTCTTGTTACCAAAAAATGGTGCGCCAAATGTGATACTGAAAATTTGCGGTTTTTCTATGTGACTTTTACCAGCTAAATGTCTTAGTGCACTAAGATGCGCAACACTCCCACCTAATGAATGGCCAGTAAATATAAGGCGTCGACGAGTCTGTGAGGATCTGTAACATTCTTCTGCAAATCTTATATGTGGAAATCGAGAAGAGCGACTCCAAAAACCTTTATGAACCATACCATTACTCGATAGAGTTGGAATAACCAGCAAATCTGTTAGAATATCGCTCCAGTTTTGAGTTCCTTTAAATGCAACCCACATTGTCTCGGAGTTTGCATTTGTTTTCGTGATTCCGATCAGATATGGAAAAGATGCCTTGCAGGCAAATTTCAAGCCAACCATCGTAGAAATGCTGCTGCATGAACCATAATTTGTATTTATAAATTGAATAGGATTTTCTTCATAAACAGCCTGTGAAAGAATGGCAGCTATTTCAATATCTATCCGATCAAAAATAGTTGTTTCTTCTTTGCTTTTCGCCTGCACACTGTCATCCATTATTTCCACACGTTGACCCAAAAATAATCGGTAGGCTTTGTCGTTTTTACATGAGAACATACCATTCCATTCGATATTGACCACGTCAAGAGAATCGCTATCGTCAGCATCCTCGTCGATTTCTTGCAAACGTGCCTGAGGATATTCTTGTACAACCGTCCTTGAACTTATATGTGGTATTTCAAATTTTTTCGCAATATCTGTGATACTCAATTCACGTATGTCGGGGTTGCCAGAATCAGACTCGAATGAACGTGGGCGAATTTCTTTTTGTTGACGTTTGTAAGTGATCAATATATTCATCGTAAACAAAGAAAAGTTTTGATGTGAATATTTTGATTGTGTTGAAATACTTTCCAAATTTAATTCTAAAAAAGTACAAGATTAAAATATTAGACTGTTGAGAAGTTGCAAATTTAAAGTCTATTTTATACCACCGCATAACAAACTTACGCAGCTGAAATAGTATACGTAATATTAAATCAATAAATCTAAGTTTCAATTGAAATGTTTACTCGCTTTGACTTCATTCTTAAAAGAGCCGAGTCTATTTATACTGTTGAAAAAAAGAGGAAAACACCAAAATAACTATAAGCGATAGGACAAATCCAACATGGGTTAAACGGAATGCATAAAAAAGAATGAAAGAAAAGAGAAGAAAAGAAAGAAAGTGACATGGATATTCCATACATGTAAAACTCGAAGACTCGGTTCGAGTATTAAAACTATCAAATTCGAGTTTTAAACTTTTAAACTTTTAAATTTAGAATTCGAGCACTCAAGTTTTAAACTTTTCAACTTTTAAGCTTTTAAATTTAGAATTCGAGCACTCGAGTTTTAAACTTTTCAACTTTTAAATTTAGAATTCGAGTACTCGAGTTTTAAACTTTTAAACTTTTAACTACTAATTGGCTATTAAATATGCACTAACTACATGCTAAATATTAAATGATTAAGTACCTATCGTTTATTAACTACCTGATTAGCAATTAGTAATTGCCTGATTAGCATTTATTAACTGCCTGGTTAGCATTTATTAACTGGCTGAATATATTGTGGGTGTGTGTGTAGGTGTGGGTGTGGGTGTAGGTGAGGGTGTGGGTGTGGGTGTAGGTGTCGGTGTGGGTGTGGGTGTGGTGTAGGTGTGGGTGTGGGTGTGGGTGTGGGGGTGGGTGGGGCTGGATTAGGGGACAACTCAAAGGTGGAATTTTAGGTTTGGAAGCTTAGAAGTTGAAAACTCGAGTACTCGAATTCTAAATGTAAAAGTTTAAAACTCGAGTGCTCGAATTCTAAACCGAAAGATTTAGAATTCGAACGAAAGTTTTAAAACTCGAATCGAGTTAACGATTTCTACACTACTCGATTTTTCAACAGTTCAGAATGCGTGACTTAGCGTAAACTGCAAATATTAAATACTTACTGAATTCTTATTTGCTTCGCATATGGTGGTAAGTTGGCAGTTTTGCAATGTTTTATCTTTCTCAATACATTCTACTGCGACGCAAGTATGACTTTCTCATGTCATGTTTTTGGAAATTTCCAACAACGAAGTAAGTAGATATTGTGAAATAGCAAATAATGCAGTTATTCAACACTTTTGAAATCCATTCTTTTCTATGACATCGTACCGACAACTCGCTTTTTCGTTATCACCTCCCCAGATCTCTTATAACTGTTGTCATATGATCTACCTTGCACAGTGACTCATCCTCTTGGTTTACCAATCGAAAGTAAAGAGATACTTACTGCCGGCCAAGAGATGATTAACTCGACCGACATGACTAATGACACACAGGGAAAGACGCCTGTGGAAAAGCCAATCCATCAACTAAAACTTTCATCCGGCATTAATCTCCGAGAAAACGGTTACAAACTCTCGAAAGTCCACAACGACGGTGACTCATCCGAAAGAGCTCACTAATTGGGCAACAGTTCCGTCAAATACTTTCGTCATGGGAACGCACGAAGAGCTACAAATGCCAGCCGTGAAGTCATCAAATTTAAAGATAAAATCTCAACGTTCTTTCTTACCGTTTCGCTTGAACTTTGTCGGCAAAGCCACCCGCTTGGAACATCAATGTTTACTAACATAAACAAACATTTTCGTTTGAACATCACATATGAATAATTTATGGCTGGTGACAAGAAGACGTTTCTCGTATATGCAAACACAGGACCAATTCGATCGTCTGAAAAATCGCGAAGCTTGATCCGTTCTATTTTGTAGTTCGGACGTCGATCTCCCATCTAAGGTACCTTCTTCATATTCAATTGTTACTGTAGATGCCCACCTCAATGCATTCTAGCGATTCCAATCATGAAAATTTTCACTCACTCAAACTCCTTTTCGATAATGACTATCAATAAAAATGTTTTCATGCTCAGTTTTTAAAAACGTATAAGCACGATACGTATATTTGTATGGAAAACATAAGTTAATTATGTCTTTAAATAATGATTTAGTAATTGTTTCATAATCGAACAGTCTGATCATCTATAATTCCAAAAATGGATTCCATTGGATCTTTATATTTAACAAAACCACAACTTGGTTCAGATATCCCATAGCCAAGAACACGCAGCTCATCTGGAGT